CCGGCTTCCGGAGCGGGCGCAGGGTGTCAAGGTCACCGGCCCGGGACGCGTGACGGCCTGTGCCTCCTGGTCCCCGCGGGCCGTGTGGGCCGCGCAGCTGTGAGTGACGCCGGGGGCCCGGGAAGGTCACGCCTCGGCTCGGCTGCTTGCTGCCTTGGTTTCGCTGACTTTCGCGGCACCGGGAAAGGACGGATGAGTGGGTTGCTCCGGGGTGCTCTCTCGAGGGGAGAGAGTGGAACCTCCCTTTCCCATCTGTTGAATAGGGCCGTTGCTGGCATCCTGAATACTCACCTGCAAATACCGCTGGTGTCCGAACAGTAATCATGAGGCCTCGCTGCTGGTCTAGTTCTGGTTCCTTTTATTTAAGTGATGTTGTGTTGGCAGGACCATGACACAGCTTCTTGCCATCTACTAGCCCAGCACAGGTTTTACCCAGAGGTACATAGCATGGTGGTTGAGGAGTGCGATTGGACACTGGAACCTGGTTTGATCACAGGTTGCCCTTGAGGTCGTTTGTTCAGCCCCCTTCACTTACAGCAGACTTTCATCATCCGCAGGGCGTTGTTGCCAGCACCCTTACCAAATTCAGAAGATACAAGCACTACTGTGTGCTTTGGTTTGGTGATACATGAGACTAGGTCTTACTGTAGCCCAGGCTAGCCTTCTGAATCTCCCACCTGGTCCTTCTAGTCAGGCTGACTCTTCCCTTATACGTTAATCTCTAGATTAATACCTAGTAAATATGGTTTGTAAATAGGTTTTATACCCTAGCATTCAAGGAGTAATGACCAAAACCCAACACAAACCAACCTACCAAATACCCGCTCCTGCTCACTCTCAGAAAACTGCAGAACACAAATTGGCCTCAAGCATTCTTTATTGATGAGGTTGGTGTTTGAACTCCTGATCCTTCTGTCTCCCAAGTCTCAAGTGCAGGGGTTACAACTATGTACCAACACCCCAACTCATGACATTTTTTTTCTTTTCCAAGTGTTTTTCACCAGTGGTTGGTGGGATATGAGAGTGGAAGCCCTGGCTAGGAATACCTGCGTTTGTGACATTGGCTTTGAAACTCCCTTGTCATCTTGTGTATATTTGAGTCCATATCTTTTCTACTGTGCACTTCCCTGTTGTATGCTATCTGTGCAGTGTTCGTCTGTTCTCCTGTCTTACCTTGCTCATCTGACCCCTCCTTTTGTCATTAGTGAACTTTGGACTCAGGGATCCGCCTTGTGAGGTTGAAATTCATGTAAAAGGTCTTCATGGGACTGTTGTCCCTGTGAGTCACCAGTGGATGCTGAGACATAAGGAAGTTGTTGCTCCAGACAGCTACAGCTAATTAGTGTGGGTGGGTGTGGCATATACCCCTGGTACTGGGGGTACATATAAATGACACCTGAACATTTCTTTGAGATATATATATCCTATATCCTATATCCTGTATAGCCCAGGATGACCTTGAACATGTTATCCTCCTGCCTCTGTTTCCTGAGTATTGGAATTACAGGTGTGGTGGCCCATACCTGGTTTGTTATGAGGTGTTGGGCCATCAAACCCAGGACTTTGTGTATGCTAGATAACCACTACACCATCTGCTACATCCTCTGCCTCCAGAAGGCATTGCATTTTTTAAAAAGATTTATTTATTTTGTTTTATGTGTATGATGTGTGAGTGCTTTGCATGCCTGTATGTATATGTACTCCATGCATCCCTGGTGCACTAGAAGGTCAGAAAAGAGCATTGGCTCCCCTAATATGGAGTTGCAGACTGTTATGAGCCACCATGTGATTGCTGGGAACTGAACTTGGATCTTGTGCAAATATAACAAATGTTTTTAACCACCGAGCTCTAGCCTCTCACCTGCCAGAAGGCATTTTGAGGTGATAGATATCTGTGGAGTGTAACTGTGTGCCGAGTTCCATACCAAGCTGTCATGTAGTGTGCTCCCTTTGCTTCTGCATATGTGTGCACGCCATGGCACTCATGTGGGAGTTAGAGAGGACACCATGTGAGTTCTGGGGATTGAACTTAGGTCATCAGTCTTGGTGACAAGTGTCTTCACCTACTAAAGTGTCTCACGGGCTCCCTACATTAAACATGTTGAGAATTTGCCAAACTGTTCCAGAGTAGCTTGGCAATCACCTCTCACCAACAGTGTGCAAGGGCTTCTGTCTCATTTTCTTCAACCCCTGTCTTTCTGGTGGAACCCACATACACAAGTGGGTGTGAGGTGTCCTACTTGAAGATGCTGCTTTTTTTTTCTCATCAGACCATAAAAGACACTGGACTGCAGTGACTAATACAGTAGCCAGTACAGGTGAGCTAGTGTACTCACTAATACAGTAGCCAGTACAGGTGAACTAGTGTACTCACTAATACAGAGGGATCTCACTTCCAGCACCCTCAACCCCTGCAAGCAACTGTTCGTAATTTTGTGGTGCTAGGGTTCAGACCCAGGGCCTACACATGCTAAGCGTGTGTTTTCCTGTTGAGCCATACCCTAGCTCTTTAGTAACATGTTTTGAAATAGAAATCTATCTATAATAGATTTTTCTATGGGCGTGACTCTCGTCAGGATGACAGCCCATCTTTAGCAATTGCCTAGTGTAAGATTGACATTTAGCCCTGACTCTTTTATGTTACAAGAGAGAGAGAGATAAGTTAGCATTGTTTATAGCAGCACCAACTTGTAACTTCAGGTAAATACCTGAAAATGAATCAGCATGAAACAGTAGGTTTTGGGTCAGAGTTTGTCTTTTGGGTGCTTCGAATCAGGTAAACATTGCCCAAGTAAATGGGTTCTTGGGTATTTATCATCGTGTCTGACTTTGAAGCACTTTGAGTAGTGTTTGTCTCCTGGTTCTGTTGCTAGAACAGAGTAGCCTTGTGCCTTGTGCCATCAAGCCCTGGTTCTTCCCAAGGGGAAGTTCATAGCTCTCGTGGGTGTTAGGAACCAAGTCCTTTCCCTGTTTTGTAGAGTAGTCCTCATGCTCTTACTTTGCTGTCATGTTGCAGCTTTATCAGTGTGCAACAGTGCAGACAACAGCCAGAAACTCTCTTCTGAGGGATGTGATTGCTGCTTATCAAAGATTCTGTTCCCGACCTCCCAAAGGTAAGTGCTTCAGTCTGACTCAGTGCCCTGTGTTCTTGTTGAGTGGACATGCCCTGGGAGGGGCTTCCTCTGTGGGTTGGCTTCAGAATGGCTAGCTGTTGTCCTCTGTATCTACACCCTGACTTCTGCTTCTGGCTAATGGTCGTGGGGAGATATGTCACCTACAAGTGGATATCTTGTAGGTGATGAAAGTGACACCTCTGGGTTGTGAACTGTATTATTTCGACGGTGATGTATTTCTGTACAATGTTATGATTTCTAATGTTTTGTCAGCAGCTTTATAAACTGTATGTGTAAAGCCTGATGAATTTTAGTGTGAAAATATTTTTTATCTTTTCTAACAGGATTTGAAAAATACTTTCCTAATGGAAAAAATGGAAAAAAGGCTACTGAACCCAAGGAAGCTGCTGGAGAAAAAAAAGGTAGTTTTAAAAAAGTTTAGTATTATTATTTTCCAATGATATTTCTTCCAGAGAAAAGAGTCATTAGACGTTGACTGTGTTAGAAGTACTAACTGTAGATACACACTTAAAGTTCAGTGGACCCTGCTTTATTCCTTTATTACCTTTTTATATCTCCTGCCATTTTATACATTAAAGTAGTTCAAAGTCATCTTGGAGAGATAACCATACTAAATCTATTCGATAGGTATCCCTAACACATAATAAAACTATTGAGAAAAATCTTAGAAACCTGACACATGCTTTTTATTTGACGTTTACTATGGGGTAGCACAGACTGTTATATTTTTTTAAAAAATATTTATTTATTTATTATGTATACAATATTCTGTCTGCGTGTATGCCTGCACACCAGAAGAGGGCACCAGACCTCATTACAGATGGTTGTGAGCCACCATGTGGTTGCCGGGAATTGAGCTCAGGACCTTTGGAAGAGCAGGCAATGCTCTTAACTGCTGAGCCATCTCTCCAGCCCCAACTGTTCTATTTTTTAAAGATTTATTTTAAATTGTGTGAGTGTGTGTGTGCACGTGCATGTGTGCTCATGCATGTGCACATGCTTGTGTGTACGCATATATGTGACATGCAGGTTGCAGATGGTTGTGAGCTGCCTGATGGGGACCAACGTGCATCATCCTCTGGAAGACTAGGAAGTACTCTTTAACCATTGAGCCATGTCTCTGGTTCCATAGTGCAGTGTTCCTAGATTTTTAAATTAAAAATTTAAATTAAAAAAATTTAAATCCTGAACCTTAAGAGAGTCCTGTCTACTGATTTTTTTTTTTTTTTTCCAGACAGGGTTTCTCTTTGTGTAGCCCTGGCTGTTCTGGAATTCACTCTACAGACCAGGCTGATCTCGAACTTACAGAGATCTGCCTATTCTACCTCCTGGGTATTGAGATTAAAGGCATGTGTCACCCCTTCCCAGCCTACAGAGAGGTTTTTGTTTTTTTTTAAAGACAGGTAGGCAGATCTTGTGGCACCAAGTCTTCTGCTTCCATTTCATAAGTATTGTGCTGTTTAACACAATGTCAGTGTTTGACACCTATTGGCATCCAGCTGGCATCCCTTTTAGGGAAAATGTAAGTCAGACCTTTGGCCTTTTCTTATTGGTGGCTCTGGACATTGAACTTATGCTGAGCAGGTCTACTGCTGAGTGACATCTCCAGGCCAGCCCTTGTTTTTAAAACTCACCCAGACTCCAGGCTCTGGGAGGCAGTGTTGGTTACATGGGCAGCACAGAGGACAAACCAGAGGCATAGCACAGCAGTTGGCAGGCACACCAGTGGTAAGGGATCTGCACTATAAATACAGTCCTTTGGGTGTTACCTCGTCTCAGAGTACTTAGGAATATTGTCACCCAACTTGATTGTGACAGCTCTGTCTTAGTGCTATGCCTTGTTGGGTGGCCTGAGCTAGTTCGTGCATGTCACATCTGCCTCTGCAGGTAATAGCTTAGTGAGTGTGTCATGAAGCCATTGAGGGTGACAGGCACTGCTCCACGAGAGAGGTTGTATCAGGGTAGTTGGTGACATTAGAATGGTACTTGTAGGTCACTGGGAAGAAAGCGAAGTGACAGAAGACAGGGAGATGACAATGACTGCATTGATTTCATTTGGGCTGCCTTGACAAAGGGTCAGATCTTTGGGGAGGAGGGCTTACATAACAAACTGGTCACCTTCAGTTCTGAGGCCACCACTCCTGGTTTATTTGGTGCTGGGGCCTGAACCCTTTTTTGTACATGTTAGACCAGCACTGCCAACTGCATTACACCCCAGCCCTGCACACACTTTTTAACTTTGGTGAGGTCTCAAGAATTTGCTTGCTTGGGTTTAAACCTGCCCCTTTTGTTCATATGTTCACATGGCAACAAATTACCCAACAAGTTTCTTAAGCTCAGGGTTTCCTGCTAAAATGGATGTAACAGTAGCAATCTTCTGGGGTTATTGAGTTACTCTGTATATTTTCTGAGGTCATTGTAGGAGGTGCTTTGGAGCCTCTTAACTGTTGCCTCTTTGTACGAATGTTTTCCTCATAGTGTTTTATGCAGTAACTGACGCATTGGTCAGTCAGTCCCTTCCTTAGGTCCTCAGTCTGGTGTGAAGCTGTGCACACCTTACTGACATGTGGTGGGTGTTGGATGCTGGACATGCTGCTCTCTGTTTATGACAGACTCACAACCAGCGGCTCCCAAGTCTTCTGGAGGTGCAGGTGGGGGAGGGAAGCGCCGTGGCAAGAAAGAAGATTCTCACTGGTGGTCCAGGTTCCAGAAGGTTTGATTTCAAACTGTTGGCTTTGAGGTTGGGTTGGTGGCCCCAAGGAAAGCCCACATAGCACGGATCATATTTACTTACAGAAACTGTGTCCCTCTCTGTCTAGGGTGACTTTCCATGGGATGATAAGGATTTCAGGTTGTACTTTCTCTGGACTGCTTTCTTTTGGGGTGGAGTCATGATTTACTTCCTGTTCAAGAGTTCTGGGAGAGAAATCACATGGAAGGATTTTGTCAATAACTACCTTTCTAAAGGAGTGGTAAGTAATGTATGGGGGTCACAGTTCTCAAGGTGAATGCAGTTGTATTAGACCACAGAGTGGTCAGTACTTACATACCTAGCCACACTTGTCCATCATAAAATAAGTTTTCATACTGATATTTTTCTTGAAAGCTTCAATAAATTTATGTTTATTTATTTATTTGTTGACAGAGGTTTCTGTTCTGTCCAGTCCTGCAGCCATTCAGTTCCAAAGAAACACACAGAGGTCTATATTAGTTATAAACTGGTTGGCCTATTAGTTCAGGCTTCTTATTGACTTCTACATCCTACAATAACCCATAATTCTTGTCTGTGTTAGCCATGTGGCTTGGTACCTTTTATCAGTGAGGTATTCTCATCTTATGTCCTTTGTGTCTGGGTGACTCTTTCCTCTTCCCAGAATTCTCCTGTTCTCATTGCCCCACCTCTATTTCCTGCCTGGCTGTTGGCTAATCAGCGTTTCATTAAAAGACCATTGTCCCACAGCATTTTCCCCCACTTTTTTCCCAAAGAACTCTGAATCTAATCTCCTTTGTTTAGGAGATTTTTTTTTCCAGACCATTATCCATAACAACTTGTAAACAACACTCTAAACAAAGATAAATATCCATAATCCATTTTTTGGGAATGCAGGTGTAGTTTTCTAGGCTACTTCTTGCTGATTTGGGTCGATGATAATTTTATAGGGATCTAAAGAAAATTTAGAATTATGATCAAGTCATGACTGGGGTATCCTGTGAGGCTTGATCATCTCAGCTAGCAGTCTTGAAACTATCCTGGATATAGAACTCAGATATCTGGGCCATCTGCTCCCTTTGGAGAGTTCTCGGGGTATCTTCAAAATCAAACCTGATTTTTCTTAACGCAGAATGAATCCACAGTCTCTCATATCCTGTGGAAACAAATGCAAAACCTCTTCTCCAAAGTAACATATCTTTTGACTTAAATTTTGAAGTCACGGCATTTTCAAAATATATATGTTTGATTAATCCAGCAGCATTATATTCAAATGTCTTTTAGCAGCTGTTGTGCCTTCCTCAGCCATCAAACAATTCAAAGACAGCACAATAACATACAGTATACAGATTCTCTGTATTTTCCATCTTTATGTGGCTTTATCTTAAACTCTATTTCTTTTTTTTATTTTTAATTTTTAGTTTTTTGAGACTAGGTTTTTCTGTGTATCTTCGGCTGTCCTGGCACTCACTCTGTAGGCCAGGTTGTCCTTGAACTCACAGAGATCCGCTTGCCCCTGACTCCCAAGTGTTGGGATTAAAGGTCTGTGCCACTACACCTTGAACTCAGAGCGATTGTATGACTTAGCCTCCTATGTGTTGGGGTTAAAGGTGTGTACCACTATACCCAACTACTCTCTTTTTTATTTTAAGGACTTTATCCTTTTTCTTTTCTCTCCCAAGCCTACATATATTTTTAACACACTGTAAACCATTTAGAGGTTTTCTTCATCTGAATCTATCTTTACTGTATATCTCTCTTTTTCTGACCACATGAGTCTTTATTTGCTAAGCGATATGGCTAGGATTAGAGCCGTGGCTTTGACGGCTGGATCCACCCAACTCCTTAGATTTCTGAGCCTCATGATGGAGGTACTGGCCAGAGCCATGTTTATTGCCACAACTCTATGACATTTCAAGGTCCCTGCCACCACCAAGAAGCATGCTGTTGGCTATTCATAAACACCATTTAAGTGTTTGCTGGCAGCTACAAGGATTTTGCAGCTAAAACTGAGTCAAGGCACACTTGCCTCTAGCAAATAGAGCCCCCTTGAGAAAATGCTGCTCCAAGAAGCCTTTCTTAGCTCTGTTCTTTTGTGTTTAGAATTACTTCCCAAGCTCTCTCAGGTTTTATGTGGATACAGTCGTCCATGTTGGTGCCATTTTGTTGTAGGAGGTTTCTGTCCCACCAGGTCCCTCAGTAATTTAATTAATACAGTCTGTGTGGTTATTTTGAGTCTGGGCAGCCGGGAATGAACAAGTGGCCTCCTACAACATTTGTTTGTTTGTTTTTCGTTTTAGGTTTTTCTGAGATAAGATTTCTCTGGTGTAGCTCTGACTGTCCTGGAACTCAGTCTGTAGACCAGGCTGTCCTCGAACTAATAGAAATCCACCTGTCTCTGCTTCCCAAGTGCTGAATCAAAGGTGTGTGCCGCTGTTTATTAGTTTTGTTTTAGACTTATTGTGTGTTTCTCTCTGTGTGTGTGTGTGTGTGTGTGTGTGTGTGTGTGTGTGTGTGTGTGCGTGCGTACAGATCAGAGGACAACTTGTAGGAATTAGTTCTTTCCATCTACTCTGTAGATTCCAGGGATCAAACTCAGGTTGCTGGCCTGGCAGAAAGCGCCTTTACTTACTGACTCATCTCACTACTCCCTTGGTTTGGCAGGTAGGAGGCAACGACATTTCCTTATGTAGCCTTGGCTAACTTGGAACTTGCTATGTAGGCTAGGCTGGTCTCAAATTTATAGTAATCCTCCATCCTTTACCTCTGCCTCCCAAGTGCTGAAATTAAGGGTATGTACTGTATAAAGTACATGACCCTCCAGGGTATGGTTGAGGAGATTTTTATTGTAGACATGAGGGAGGGAGTGGGGAGAGAGTATAGTAGATTGAACATGGCCAGTGGACTGGAAATGGTCATGAAAAGAGAGATGGGACAGAGCAAGAGAGAAAGACAAGGTGCAGAGAAAGGAGAGGGGACCATGAGAGGGAGAAAGAGCATGGCCTAAATCACAGGGTTATATGGGAATGAGAGACTGGGGGAAGCCCAGAAACTGGAGATGGGGGTGGGGTTAGTAGATGGTGGTTAAATAAATCCTGACTAACTCAGAGACTTGTTCTGAGGAAACCTTGAGGCCAGCATGTGCTTTGATATGCTAATATTACAGGTAGCCATTTGTCCCTTCTTCCAAGGATGAGGAAATGGCTTCTTTGATATAGGGAAATGGGTGGGTGCCAGAATTTGGAGGAGTGGTTTCCTTTGACTCTGACAATGTACCACCCTGCCCCGTAGTGCTGCTGGCTGCTGTGTGGTGACTTTGTATTCTACCGTGTTGCTGAATTCATATATTTGTTCCAGCTTTTGGGGTAGTATTTCCAGGGTTTTCTAGATTGTGTCATCTTTTAGGATATTAGGCACGCGACGTGTATCCTTTTGAATACTTGAGTGATAAACTCAGAGTCACCAGTAATGAGTTGGTGTTTCAATAAGGATAAAAAACACTTTCTGCAAACCCAGATTTGAATTCTCCACTTCTTTCTCCCTATGTCTTTTTCATCTTTGTTACCTGCCTGTTATATGAGTCAGAATGTGGCCTGCGTAAAGGTCCTCTTGTGAAGTCTGTGTGTGTCTCCAACAAAGGGTTTTGCTCTTCTATTAAAGAGCACAGGAAGTACCACATGGGGAGGAATGAGGGGCACTTTACAGAAATTTTGTTTATCAAGGGATGAGGTCATTAATGACCCTAGCTATCCCAGATAACAAATGAACAAATGCTACCAAGCAATATCATTATTGATGGATATTTGTTAGATAAGGTTGTTTCCAATTTACTTAGGGTTTTCAACATTTATTACCATAGCCCACACACACCTTTTGCATTACTCTAGGTCAGGGGTATGGACGAGTACCCATCTTTTCCTGTAAGCCACTACCTCGTGGTGCTACCACGAGATTATTAGAAATGGGTTAATATCAAGATATGAGAGTTAGTCAGTAACTAACTCTCTAGAGATAATGGGCCAGGCAGTGTTTAAATGAATATAACTTGTGTGTTATTATTTCTGGGGCTAAGCTAGCTGTGCGGGAGCCGGGCAGGATGAAAAGCAGGCCTGCCCGCAGCCCCTCACTACAAATGGCACCCAACATGGTGGCGCATGCCGGTAGGATTTGCTGAAGGAGGCAGAGGCAGGAGGATCACGAGTTCGAGGCCAGCCTGAAATACTACGCCCACATTCCCAACAAATGGACTATGGGTATTTTTCTTTGTTTAAAAAAAAAAAAAGAGGGAAATGGTGCGAGAGAATTGTCTGTATTCTGTCAATCATGTATTTTAATAAAACGCTGATTGGCCAGGCAGAAAGTATAGGCGGGTCAACCAGACAGGAAGTAGAGGCGGGGCAATGAGAATAGGATAAAGCTAGGGAGGAGGAAACTCCCTCCGCCATTCCTGCGCAGACCACCGAAGAGGCAACATGTAACCTGCCCAGCTGAAAATGGTACCAAGCCATGTGCTAACGTAGAAGGATAATGGGGTAACATAAGTTATAAGAGCTAATAAGTAGCCTGACCTAATGGACCAATCAGCTTTATAACTTATAGAGATCTCTGTGTGGTTGATTTTCCTTTGGGGCTTGCCGGCTGTGGAGCACTGGGCGGGACAGATACCCCAACAAGCCGGCCTGTCATACTACACTTTTATAATAATGCATTGTCATTGGAAGCAAATGCTCTTACAAGAGTTTACCACTGAACTATGTCCCTAGCAAGATCATGTAACCTATTAATAAATTATTTTCTCCCTGATTTCTTTTTTGACTACTGGGCATTCAGGGGCATAATGCTCAGTCTCCCTGTATTTGTGTTGTTTCCTAGTTTTTCTTGCTGTTGAGTTCAGAGTTTTATTGTAGTATGGCTTGATAAGATAATAGGGAATTATTTAGATCCTTTCATACTTGCTAAAACTTGATATGTGACCTAGAATGTGGTCTGTTTTAGAGAAGGTTGGGGCTGCTAAGAAGAATGCATGTTCTGTTTCTGTTGCATGGAATAATTTGTAGCTATATGTTAAATCCATTTCACCTATTGAAATTGCCTAGTGCAAATGAGAAGGATGTACAAAATACGCAACAAACCTGCTTAGGAGTTTATCAGAGAAGGCGTGTACTGGCCTGGGGAAGTCGGTGTGCAGAGAGAGAGGGCTGAAGATGGCGCGTCCAGCTTTTAAAGGCTTTTAAAGGCTGCCTAGCACATGTGCACAGGGGGATGACTTGGCTACGTAGATGATGGAGCTCACGCATATGCACAAGGGCTCACGTAGTAGGTGATGCAACCTTGCCACACGTGGGTCACACAGGGCCTTTTAAGGTTCCTGGGGCAACTAGGTATTTTTGCCTGGCCTGAGGGCTTTGTCCACACATGCATTGGAACCTAGAAGTACCAGCCATGCTGGTTTGCCTAAAATGATAACACCTATGGTGTGGTTTAATTTTCAGGTTGCTTTGTTGATCTTTAGTTTGGATAGTTTATCTAGAGATGAGAGTAGGGTATGGAAATCACCTACTCTTAGCGTATCAGAACCTTTATGATATTTTAATGTCCATTAGTGTTTGCTTTGTAAAACTGGGAAGCCAAACACTCAATGCATATTCATATATGTATTTATAGTTGCTAACTCTTGTTGATGAATTGTTCACTTTGTTCATACATAGTGAACTTTTTTATCTCTAATGATGAATTTGATTCAAAGTCCACTTTATCATAATACCAGAATTTATTTTCAGTTTCTATTAGCATGATAGATTGTCTCCAATCTTTTTACTCTCAATCTCAGTAAGGTATGTTTCATAGAGACAAAAGTAAGTTGGGTATAGTTTTTTCAGGTCCAAAAGAAATCAGGGACAAATGATTATGTGCCTATTTGTAACATGAAGGCCTGCTGCTTGTTGGGGTTTCTATCCTGCCTAGTTTCCACAGCCGGTAAGCCCCCAAAGAAAATCACACAGAGAGTCTACATTAGGTTATAAACTGGCCCATTAGCTCAGGTTTCTTATTAACTCTTGTAACTTATATTAACCCATTATTCATTGTTCTTATCTATGTTAGCCACATGGCTCAGTACCTTTTTCAGTGGGACAGGTCACATCCTGCTTCTTCGGTGGTCTGGGCAGGACTGGGGAGGAATGGGCTTCCTCCTTCCCAGCATTCTGTTCTCATTGCTCCACCTCTGCTTCCTGTCTGGCTACCGGCCAATCAACGTTTATTTAAAATATGATTGACAGAATATAGAATTGCCCCGCACCACCTATTGGCATTCATTCCAAAGTGGACACTGGCCTCCAGGCTCCCTTAGCACTTGTGACTCCTCTCAACCTTTTTCACCAACTCTACCCTAAATATCTCCATCTCATGGGCTTCCCCTCCCCTAACTTCTCATCCTTATAGAACCCTGCCATTTTGGCCATGCTCTCTCTTGCTTCTTCGCTCTTGTACTCTTGACCCTCTCTCTTCTCTCCTCTTCCTCTCTCTCTTCTCTCATGTCCCAGGTTAGTCTTTTGACCATGTTTTTAGTCCACTATTTTCTCTCCTTGCTCTGGACTCTTCCAGATGTCTCTGGCTGTAATCTCCCACATATCTACAGTAAAAATCTTCTCAATCATATCTTCAAGTGGTCATGTTCTCATTTCATTCAGTTTTTTAAAATTCAATCAGCTAGTCTGGCTCTCTTATTTATTTTTCTTATCTATATATATTTGTGTGTGCCTACATGATTCTTGTGTACCATGTGCTGTCAATGCCTGCAGAGGTCAGGGGGCATTGGATTGCCTGGAACTGGAATTACAGAGTTGTGAGTCACCTAATCTGGGTGCTGGGAATACAACCTGGGTTCTATGCAAGACCACTAAGTGCTCTTAACTGCTGAGCCATCTATCTCTTCTGCTCCTGACTCCTTTCCCTCCCTCCCTCCCTCCCTCCCTCCCTCCCTCCCTCTCCATCTCTTTCCCTGTCCCCTACTCCTCTGATCTTTGTTTGAGACAGGGTTTTTCTGTGTAACCTTAGCTGTGCTGGAACTCACTCTGTAAACCAGGCTGACCTCAAACTGATAGAGCTTGCCTCTGCTTCCTGAGTGCTGGGACTAAAGGCGTGCACCACCATACCTGGCAGCCTGTGTCTCTTTGCTGATGAATTCAGGTAATTTATGTATGAAGTCGTTATAGAGAGATGCTTACTAAATTCTGGTGATTTTTTTTTTTTTTCTGGTTAGTTGGATTGTTTGTTCTTTTCTTCTCTGTAGGGTCAGGGGTAGTGTCAGGGTTTGCTGGTTTACTGTGGAGGACATGGTGGATGCTTTCCTTGTTTCTGCTCTTGAGCCATTCTTGTCCCGAAATTTAATCTTCCTGTACTAGTATGATTATGTTTTCTTTGTTCCTCTTCTGTGTGTAATTCCTGTAAGTATCTTTTGCAGTGCCAGTTTGTGGTCATGAACTGCTGTCATTTGTGCTTGTCCTGAAATGTGCTTATTTCTCTGTCAGTTTCACAGAATAACTGCAGAATACAAGCTTTGCTTGAATTAGACCATTTCATGTTTTCCTGGCTTTTAGGGTTTTTGATGACAGATCTGACATCATTCTCATGTTTTGCCTTTGTAGATGAATTGACCTTTCCCTTGGTAGCATTTTTTATTATTGTTTCTTGGTTTTGTAGTTTTGACTTGTTGGCCATAATATGTTGCAGAGTTTATTCTCTGTGTATTTGGGGTTTTAGATGCTTCTTATGTTTCAATCTATTTCTTTCTCTAAATTTTGCCATAATTTCTTTGAATAGATTCTCTGTATCCTCAGTGTTTATCTGAGCTCCTTATACTGTATGGCTTGTTTGACTGATTGTAGTCCAGAGTAGTCATGCTCATTTGTTACTATATATTCCTTATTGTAATTTTTTAAAAGATTTATTATGTATGCAGTGTTCTGTCTGCATGTATGCCTGCAGGCCAGAAGAGGGCAGCAGCTCATTTCAGAAGGTTGTGAGCCATTATGTAGTTGCTGGAAATTGAACTCAGCCAGTGCTCTTAACGACTGTGCCATATCTCCAGCCCCCAATTTTTTTTTTTTTTTTTTGAGGGGAAACACACCTTAAATTCCCAAGTAGTTTTAGCCATTCCTTTCTAGACAGAGCAGTTATCCCTGTGTTCCAGTTTCTCTGGAATTATTCTCAACTTCCTTACTTTCACTTTGCAAACTTATTGAAAAGCAGATCATAAGAAATGAACATGCCTTAGAGGATTCATGTTGTCCCTGTCCTTCAGATGTGGTATTCCAAGAGTCTTATTAGAAGTGGGGAGGAAAGAATGCCATTAAGAATCAGATATAGGGCTGACAAAATGGCTCAGTGGTTAAAACACTTTGAAACCTGATGACCTGACTTTAATCCAAGGAATGCACATAAGGTGGAAGGAGAGGCTGGTCATCACAAAGTGACCTCTGATCTCTGATGCTTACTGTGGCATGTGAATGCCTCACCCATATCTCCCCTCTATTTATCTGTCACATACAAAAATAATAGTAATAATAATAAAATTTTAAATCAGATACAGTTAGGAGATTAAAGAAAGCAAGTATATACTGTTTGATATTCGGGGAATAGAAAAAAAATCTTAAAACACCAAGTGTTAGAGATGAAAACAGTCAGAATCATTGGCTAAAAAGAGTGTAAATTGGAGAGCCATTGTGGGGAGCAGTTTGGCATATCTAGTACAGTTGAAGGGCTGTATGCTTTGCAGCTCGTCCTTAGTGTAGCTGTCTATAGATTGTGTATCCTGGAAGAACGTTTGAAGATATCTTTCAGAAGTTATCTACGGGCTGTTCATTGCAGCATTTGGTAAGACTGTGTATGAATTGAAACAGCCTAACTGTTAGTGAGCATGAAGGTAATTTGGGAGTGTGCTTATTAAATGTAAGACTTCACAGAATTAAGATGCCAAAGTATATAAACCTTGCACATGTAATTATAGTGATATTTTATTTCTGTTTTAATAAAAAAAAAAACTTGTCTGAAGATCAGAAGGCAAAACTAAGCCACACTAGACGCCAGGCAGTGGTGGCACACATCTTTAACCCCAGGATTTGGGAGACAGAGGCAGACAGATCACTGTGAGTTCAAGGCTACCCTGGGATTCACAAGATAGATCCAGGTGGTGGTGGTTCACGACTTTAATCCCAGTGATCTCCCATCACGAGGGAGATAAAAACAGGAATGATATGGCTGGGCAAAGAGAGGACTATAAAGGGGAAGAGACAGGAACCACCCAGTGAAGTGTGGAGTCTGAGGATTACTAAAGACAGTATCTCACCCTTTTGGTCAGAAGATTTGGTAGAAGTAGAAGGTCTCTCAAGTGGTTTGCTGCTTTGTTTTTCTGAACTTCAGGTTGAACTCTAGTATCTCTGGGTTTTTATTATTCGTGCTACATGTAATGGTGGGAGGGAAAAGAAAGGTCAATAAAAACAGCCATTTAAAAAGCTTGAAAGCACCTGGCGTGGTGGTGCACACCTTTAATCCCAGCACTCAAGAGGTAAAGGCAGGCGGATCTCTGTGAGTTTGAGGCCAGCCTGGTCTACAGAGCAAGTTCCAGGCAGCCAGGACTGTTAAACAGAGAAATCCTGTCTTGAAAAACAGTCAAAACAAAAAAGTCATATGTGTTTTTGAAAAATACTTATTTTTATATGTATTTATGCGTGTCTACATTTACATGTGCACTGTGTGTGTACCTGGTGCCCACAGAAGTCAGAAGAGGTGTCACATGCCCTGTGACTGGAGTTCTAGGTGGTTGCCAGGTACTGTGTGTATTCTAGGGATGGAATCCAGATCCTGTGCAAAAGTCGCAAGTGTTCTTTATCACTGAGCCATCTCCATCTACTCCTCATCCCCTGTGCCTTGTTTTGATACAGGGTCTCAAACTTGTAGTAGTCTTGGCTGATCTGGAACTTATTATATAGAGTGGTCTGACTCTTCCTCCTAAGTGCTGGGATTAAAAACATACATCATCATGCCCAACCTGACATATGCCTTTTTATTATCATTTAAAAATGAGAATAAAATAACATCTTAAGTATTTTCTGTAAACTTGTGTTTATATGTTTGCCTTTTTAACATTCTAGGTGGACAGACTAGAAGTTGTCAACAAGCGTTTTGTTCGTGTGACCTTCACACCAGGAAAAACTCCGGTTGATGGGGTAAGTAATTTTATAAATTGATGTGAGTTAGGAAGTGAACCTTCAGGTTTAGAACTGACAAGAAACCATCCCTTGCATTACATATGTACAGAGGGAGAGTGGGATCTGGTGTGCCACAGGGGTGACACTCGGTGACCTCAGCTGATATGTGCACATGCCGATGATGGAGTGCGTCAGTGTTGGATTGGTCTTGGTAATCATTTTAGTTTCACACCTAGGACACAATGAAGAAGTGCTCAATTTTCAGCATTCCAAAGTAATCTATGATTTTTTTTTTATTTTTTTATTTTAAGACAGGGTTTCTCTGTAGCTTTGGTTCCTGTCCTAGAACTTGCTCTTATAGACCAGGCTGGCCTTGAACTCACAAAGATCCACCTGCCTCTGCCTAGTGCTGGGATTAAAGTTGGGCGCCACCACTGCCTGGCAATGATTCTTGAAGGCATTTGGTTGGGAAAGATTTTAAATTTGGATTTTATGTGTTTTGAGGTAGTATCTTTGAAATCAGTTTAGGATTCTTTCTGTTCATCAGTCTTCAACCGTTTTGTGATATTTATCTGTTTTCCTAGTTTTTGTTTGTTTATTTTTGAATGGGGTCTTACTCTGTAACGCAGGCTGCCCTTGAACTCATGGCCATCTCCATTCTTTAGTCCCTACAAGTGCGCAGGCATAACCATTACACCTGGCTGTGCTGATTTGAAAATAATCTATATTCTGGTCCACCTAGTGTGGACTCTTATCTAGAGACACAGCAGAAGTGTCGGGTGCACAGCGATTATAAAGAGGGGAGGGAGGCTCCCTGCTCTGCCACTACCCTACATCTAGTCCTGTTGTCCTCTACCAGGCTGCTCCCTACCCACTTTCTAGACTCGGCACCCACTTCTGGAGAGCATCCTCCCCTAACTGTCACTCTCCTTTGTTAGTGCTGTCTGTGGTACTGTTTCTAAAAGATAATTTTGATAATGGAGAGGTCTTGTTTTCTAGGATTGGCATACACAGACATTTAATCTAAAATTTATAACATTGCATTATTTTTCTTTCTTCATTGTGCCACAGTAAACAAAACTCAAGGTTGTATGCTTTGTTTGGGTTTTGATATTAGGGACTGAACCTAGAGTCCTATAGGTTAACAAGTACTTCACCACTGAACTATATCCCCAGCCCTGTATCTTAAGACTGTAGTCTGTCTGGTGTGTACAGCTGTAATCTCAATCCTTCTTGGCTGCACTGAGTGTGTATGGACTTTCCCCCAGTTCTATCCCTTAACCAGGAAAGCATAATAACACTTTCGTAGCATTTGCCGTTGTCAGAGCACTTCAAGTCATCTAGAGTTAAAGTAGGTAGGATGTAGTGTTTTTAGATATGTCCCACTTTGTAGAAGGCTCAGATTTTCCTGGGATTTGGAACTATTTTCTTGTGTACCTGAGGCGGGTGGTCATTATTTTTGTGCCATTTTGTAGAATTGCTATCTCCCCTAGGTTCTTCAGGTCCACCCCACCCCAGGAATCCCCCAGCCTTCAGTATTAGACGGGTTATGCCCAGCACAGCATTTCTGGTACTTGTCTACTGGCCAAGTTTGATTTTCACTGTTGTCCTGATCCCACTTCTTAGCAGGATCCTCAAGGGCGAATGAGCTAATGTATATTCAAGGGCTCAGCAAGGCCTTACACAGAATGTGCGTAGCCAGTTGAGCTGTTACTGTTGTATCACAGTGCTGGACATGGGCTAGGAGAAAAGAGTCTTGTTCATCTTCAGCAAACATTTTCTTTTCAAATAGGTTTTTAATGCTTTTCTTTAAAAAAAAAAGTTTACTTTGAGATTTTATCTTTATTTCATGTGTATGGATATTTTACCTGAATGTATGTCTGTGTGCCACATACATGCAGTGTTTGTAGAGGCCAGAAGAGGGCGTTGGATCCTCTAGACTAGTTGTTAGAGTTGTTAGCTGATGTGGATGCTGGAAATTGAACCTGGGTCTTTTGAAAGAGCATCAGTGCTCTTAAAATGGAGCCGTCTCTAATCCCAGTGCTGTTCTTTGAATTTATAAGTTTCAAGCCACCGAAGAATATTGCTAAGGAAATACTTACTTGGCCAAGGATTGCCATGTGTTCTCACCAGATTTAAAAAACAAAACAAAATAAAACATGTCTTTAAAATCAGGTTTTTATTATTGGTTTTTTATAGATAAATCTTCAGTGTTTATGATTTTATTTTTTTTTTTTTAAGACAGGGTCTCTGTATGTAGCTCTGGAAGTCTTGGAACTCCGTTTTTTCCCTTCTTTCTTCCTTCCTTCCATCCTTAAAAATTTCCACCTCCTCCCCTCCTCCCTTGGAACTCCTTTGTAGACCATGCTGGAATTAAAGGCAGTGCCCAACTCTGAAAAATTCTTAATGGGCTAAATGCTTTAGAAAATTCAGAGTTTTGTTTGTTCTTCATTCTAAGGATATTTCTTTTTCTGTTTTTATAGCAATATGTCTGGTTTAACATTGGCAGTGTAGACACCTTTGAGCGGAACCTGGAGACTTTGCAGCAAGAATTGGGCATAGAAGGGGAGAACCGGGTACCTGTGGTCTATATTACTGAAAGTGATGGGTAAGAAATCATTTTAAGTTCATGCTTTGTGACAGACATGGTGCTCATCCCTATAATCGTAGCACTTGGGAGACTGAGGCAAGAAGATTGACAGGAATTTGAGGCCAGCTTCGGGTACATAGAAAGACCTTGTGTCAGAAAGCTTGAAAGATAAATTAATAGAAAAGCAGGTTTGAGTACAGTGCTATTCATAGTCCACTATCTTTTTGTTGCCAAGTGACAGGCTACAAAGTTATTTTTAAGGGTTGTTTTTTTTTTGTTTTTTTTGTTTTTTGTTTTTTTTTTTTTAGTTCTTTGTCCTGTGTGTGCACATGTACACTGGAAGAAAGCATCAGATCCTGTTATAAATGGTTGTAAATGATGACCATGTGGTTGCTGAGAGTTTAACTTGGGACCTCAGAAGAACAGCCAGTGCTCTTAACTGCTGAGCTGTCTCTCCAACCCCCATAAATTAAAGTCTTAAGCAAGTCTTGGTCTGTTTGACCATATTGAAAAATAAATCTTTAGTAATTTAGTTTTTGCGACTACCTTCTTTTCTACATGACTATTTAGAGTGTTATGGTCCCGCTTGCTATTTGAAGGGTTTTTGCATGAAGAGCCCTGTGTCATTTACCTTTATAGTTAATAGTTTTCCAGGATTTAAGAAATTCTTCCAGGCTAGAGAGATGGCTCAGTGGTAAGAGCACAGACTGCTCTTCCAGTGGACTTGAGTTCAATTCCCAGCACCCACATGTAGCTCACAACTGTCTATAATTCTAGTCTCAGGGGATTCAGTGCCAACCTCTGACGGCTGTGAGCACAAGTCATGCAGTGGTGCACAGCCATCTGTGCAGACAAAATATTTATAGGGTTTCTCTGAAGCTTGTCCTGGAACTTGATGTGTAGACCAGGCTGGCCTCAAACTCACAAAGATCCACTTGTCTCTGCCTCTCAAGTGCTGGGATTACAGGTGTGCGCCACCGCTGCCCAGCTACCCCTAGTTTTTTTTTTTAAATGTTTAAAAATATATAAAAATTTAGCAAATTTGTACTTAAAAGTTACATTGGATAAAGATTATTAAGACAAAAATAGGCTACATCCCTAGGCTTTGAGGCACCCATGCAGGCTCTATTGCAGAGGTTCTGCTAGAAAAGAGCCTTAAGTCTGTTAAACAAGAGAGGCCTGTGGTGCCCAGAGCAGACACATTAGACATTGTATGCATTACTTTCCAAACTGCCATGCTGTTAAGTGAAGGCATTTCCTGAGGTTGAGGCCTCCCAGTATGAGAGCTGGAGTCTGAGACTAACACCAGGGTTAGGCTAAACATTTAAGTGAGTGATTGGAAAGAAAAACTTGGTAGTAGCTAGATGATAATAAAATATAAAGAGCATACATGTTGAGACAAAGTTCTTTTTTGTTATTCCATGACTTTACTTTAATGATACAAATATGCCAAGAATCTCCTGTACCTCAGACAAACTACTAGAATATTTTGAAATACTAGTTTTTTGAAAATACTGGATTTTTAAAGATTTTACCGACTGCCCTGACGTCTGAGGCAGCTGGGAAACTTGCCACCTCTCTTAGCTGTCCTGCTGTGTTCTCCTCCAGCTCCTTCCTGCTGAGCATGCTGCCCACAGTGCTCATCATCGCGTTCCTACTCTACACCATAAGGAGAGGGCCCGCTGGCATTGGTCGGACTGGCCGGGGAATGGGCGGACTCTTCAGTGTTGGGGAAACCACGGCGAAGGTCTTAAAGGATGAGATAGATGTGAAGTTCAAAGACGTGGCTGGCTGTGAGGAGGCCAAGCTAGAAATAATGGAATTCGTGAATTTCCTGAAAAACCCAAAGCAATATCAAGACCTCGGAGCAAAAATTCCAAAGGTAAAAAGATACTTGGAGAGGATTAACTCCAGAACTGTGTGTCTCTGAAGCTGTCACCGTATTACTTACTTAATTAGCCATTCTTCTTTCTGATCTTTGTTTCTGTCTAATTCAGTTCTGTAGCCTGTTTTCTGTGTCTCATTGTATCGATTTTGTGTATTTCTGAAAGCATTTATTTTTTTCTGCTCATGGAAGCCTTTTCTGCCTTTGTTCTCCCTCTAGTCTGATTTAGACACCCTCCCACTCCACCCCTTGTCAGCTGTAGCCCCTACTAGTATTATACTGCAGTAGTCCAGCCTTTTCTTCCACAGAGTGCTGGGTCATCTACTCGCACCTGATACTGAGGTCTTGGCACAGCATTGTCGAAGGAGAGTCAACACTAATGTTCACTTTCAGCACCTGCCTCATAACTGCTGTGCTAGGGCTGCTCTTGTACCACAGCGGCTTCGCAGCCCTTTGCTAGGCATAAAGTAGCAACTTGCTGTTTGTTAAATGGATTGCTTATGAATGGGGGTCCTGAGGGTTGGACATGTTTGCTAGCACAAGGGTCTTGTGCATGCTAGCCAAACACTCTACCACTGAGCAATAGATACTCCTACATCAGCCTTCCAAGGAGTTAGGATTACAAATATGTGCTACAAGGCCCAGCTTGGATTAGCTGTTAAATGGATAAAATAATTCATTAATAAAGCTTACTTTAAAGAAATGCTTAGGGGCTGGAGAGTTGGCTCATTAGTTAAGTTCAAACACTTTCTGTTTTTGAGAAGACTGGAGCTTGTTTGCTAGCATCTATATCAGGTGACTCAGCTGTGAGCAGCTCCAGCTCCAAGGAACCCAGTGGCTTCTGGTTTCTATAGGCACTTGCATAGCACACACACATACATATGTACATACGTACATACATACAGATAAATGTTTCATAAAAGAAATGCCTTTGTTTGTTTGGTAGATAGGGTTTTACCATGTAGCCATTGTTGACCTGGGATTTGGTGTGTAGACCAGGATGGCTCAGACTCACAGAGATCCGTCTGCTTCTGTCTCTCATGGTGGCATTAAAGGTTGTGCTACCATACTTGGTCTGAAAAAGGCTTTATAAAGGTAATCATTTCTATAATTTTCATGTCCCATCTGTATGGATAAAAAATCATATTCATGGTAAAATAATTTGCCATTACTTAGTACCGTTCATATCATACCTAGGCAGATGAAAATAAACATTTTGTAAAAAGATTTATTTATTACTTGTACAGTATTCTGTCTGCATATATGCATGCAGGTCAGAAGAGGGCACCAGATCTCATTACAGATGGTTGTGAGCCACCATGTGGTTGCTGAGAACTGAACTCAGGACTCTGGAAGAGCAGCCAGTGCTCTTACTTAACCTCTGAGCCGTCTCTCCAGCCCTAAAATGAACAAATTTTAAAAAATGTTCAAGTGTTGTATTACAGTCTGAAATCGTGTGTCTTTTGACCATATTATTCATCTCTTCACACACAGTATTTGGAAATAAGAGTCATGTTTGTTTGTTTGTTCATTTATTTATTGGTTTTTCAAGATGGCTTCCCTTTGAAGGTCTAGCTGTTCTCACTATGTAGTCCAGGTTGAACTCAGAGATTCACCTGCCTCTGCCTCCTGAGTGCTGGGGTTAAAGGCATGAGGCACCACTGCCTGGTGACCTTTTTTTTCCTTACTTACTTTGTGTATGTGAATAATTTGCTTGCATGCATGTATGTGCTCCATGTGTGCCTGTTGGATCCCCTGTAACTGGGGTTATGGATGGTTGTGAGCCTTTCTGTGGGTGCTGGGTGTTGAATCCATGTCCTTTGCAAGAGCAACAAGTACTTTTAACCACTGAGGCATCTTTCTGACCCTATGTTCATTTTTAAAACAGAACAGTTTCTGATGTATCACTTAGTGGAAAGTCAACAGGAAAGTGAATTCACACATATATTAGGCCCTTTTCTGTCACTGATGAGACACCATGAGCAAGACAGTTCATAGAAGGGTTTATTTGGGCTTATGATGGCAGAGCAGAGGCATGGTGGCAGGAGCAGGAAGCTGAGGGTTCACATCTTGAATGACAAGCACGAAGCAGAAAGCAAACCAGTAAAGCCGCAGGTCTTTAGACTCTAAAGCACATCTGCAGTGATGCAGTTCTTCTGCCAGACCTCACCTCCTCAACCTCTGCAAACAGCGCCATCAGCTGGGGACCACGGCTTCAAATACCCATTCTCATTTCTCATTCCAGCTACCACAGTACAGTTAGGCTTTAGGTAGATGTGAATCTGTGCAAAATAGTTACCGACGTGTACATTTTCATGAAAGTAAAAGCCAGTGTTTATGTTTATTAATTACATGAATTCAAAAACCAGTTTTACTTTTAAAGAGCAAAATAATTTTGTAAATTGGGAATGTGGTGTCCGTGTTTCTTTATTGTTTAAGGAACAGTTTATTAGCCTGGATGTTTTCTTTTCATGCTATTAGGAGGAAAGCTTAAAAACCACTAAAGCAGCTGCACTACAATTCCCAGCCATTAGAACAAACCCACAGCCTTGTGGTGTTGGGGATACAGCCCAGTGCTTTGTGTATGCTAGCCAAGTCTACCACTGAGCTGCCCACACACACGCAGCACTGAAGATCTCTAGACAGGAAGTGTTTAGATTTCCCCTTGTGTTGTTGGCAGATTAGCCTGAAACAGACCTGTCCTGTTGTTTCTGTCTGTTGTTCCTCTGACAACTTTCATATCGTCTCTGCTGTAAAGACCTCTGCTGTAGTGTAAACATTCCACTTGTCATTAAGATTTAGAGTCAGAGGTACCCTTTGGAATTGTGATGGGAGTGCAGTTTCTGTTTTCAAGATTCTGATTAGGTGTAATCTCTCTGTGTCTGAAGGGTGCCATTCTCACCGGCCCTCCAGGTACTGGTAAGACGCTGCTAGCTAAGGCCACAGCTGGAGAAGCCAATGTTCCTTTCATCACTGTCAGCGGATCTGAATTTCTGGAGATGTTTGTGGGTGTTGGTCCAGCCAGGGTAAGTCTTATTCTGTTCTGGTGATGGAACTTCTTTACTACAACCCATTCCCCCTGGGTGTGGACTGGTGAGGGTGACCCTGTCCCTGGAGTCCCCAGAGTGACCTCTCACTGGTCACTTCCAAAGCTATACTAGCAGTGCCTGTGTGATTCCCACCTCCCCCAGTACTGTAGTTCATTCTTAAGGTAATTTATATATTTCAATAAGTGGTTTTACTTTGTGGATAATTTCTTCTGGCAGGACTTTTATTGAGGCATCAGTTGACATGAGTGTCCACTTAAATGCCTTTTAGATCTGTGCAGTGTTAATACATTTTACTCACTTTAAGAAGAAACCCAGGTCCTTTAGCAGTCTCTCCATCCCCTTATCCCTAGGCAGAATCTGACATCTCTAGATTTCCTGTTTCAGACATTTCAAATAAATGGAATTGTATAATGTATGATCTCTTTTGTTTTGGGCTTTTTGTTTTATATTTTTAAAAAATAAGCTGGGCATGGTGGTGCATACCTTTAATCCCAGTACTCAGGAGGCGTAGGCAGTCAGATCTCTGAGTTGAAGGCCAGCCTGGTCTATAAAGCAAGTTTCAGGACCATCAAGATTGTTACACAGAGAAGCCCTGTCTTGAAAAACGTTATTTTTATTTTTATGTGTGTGAATGTTTTTCCCATATGTATGTGTGCCACCATGCCATTCTGAGGTTAGTCTTGCTAAACTAGTAGCATTGACTTGACAAGTAACTCAATCTTTTCTGTCAAGGTCCGAGACTTATTTGCCCTTGCTCGGAAAAATGCCCCTTGCATTCTCTTCATTGATGAGATCGATGCTGTGGGAAGGAAGAGAGGTCGAGGCAACTTCGGAGGGCAGAGTGAGCAGGAGAACACGCTCAACCAACTGCTTGTGGAGATGGACGGTGAGCGTCACAGACATTCTCTAATGGCTCAGCAGAGGAGCTGAGTTCCAGTCCAGCACCCACAGGGTGGCTCACAACCATCTGTAACTCCAGTTTCAGGGGGATCCAACGCCCTCTCCTAGTCTCAGCATGCACCTACTGTTTTTTTTATACCAGTATCTTAACTAGCATCCTGCCTTAGCATTGGTGATAAGATTATATTGACTAAGAAAATGGGTAAAATGATGAACAAAAGAACTAATGTCTGTCTCATTCTCAAAGTTGAATATGGTTCTGAAACATTACAAAAACCCAGGTGCAATGAAATGTGAATTTGGCAAACGTTGAATACAGGTGTTTTTTTGAACTTTGTGGGTTTGCATTTAAATTGAAAATATCCTAAGTCCAAAATACAGTGAGTCTGCCTGACCCACCGAACTTCCTGCTGAGCGGCACAACACACTGCAAAGTATGTTTCTTAAGGGTGGTGCGGCTGACTGGGAGTTACAGCTCGCTGCTGTCACCCAGCATAGCTAGAGAGGATCAAGCCAAACAATGAAAGATGTCCTGTGAAAGAGGCAGATTCAAAATTTGAAGTGCGGTTTTAACTAATTGTGTATCACTTTCACCCCATCATTGAGTGAAATCCTAAGCTGAGGTTCATCTATACTCCTTAACCTAGAAAATAGCAGTCATTCCATACTGGCCAGCTTTTTTGTCAGTTAAGGAGGCAGTTTCTGGGGCTGCTGCATCCTTCCTGCTGGGAAGTGTGTGGACACTTTCCTGTGTGTCCACACAAAAGGAAGGCACAGTGCCAACCTTCACATTGACTTAGATGAAGAAGCCAGGTGCAGTATCAGAATGTGGAGGTGGAGACTTTGCTCCATTCTGTGACATTCGGTTCACCCTTCAGACTCTAAGTTCAAACCGAGTGCCTCATTGGGGTACCAGCCCATGCAATCTTTTAGTACCTGTGTCCTGAGGTCAGAGGATGGCTAGAAACATTTGAGAACAGCTGAGAAAACTGAGGCATTCAGGGGCCAAAGGGATGGCTTAGTGATTAAGAACATGGGTTTCTTTATACCAAAGACCCCAGTTTCAATTCCAGCAACCCAAGTAGTTAAGTGTAGAACTGTCACAAACACCTGTAACTTTAGCCTCTGACCTCTGAGGGTACCACAACTTACATGTGTATACGCTCATGTAATTAAAAATAACAATAATAACTTGTTGGTAGTAACACATGACTTTAATTCCAACACTCAGGAGACAGTGGCAGACAGGTGGATCTCTGTGAGTTTGAGGCCAACCCGATCAACAGAGAGAGTTCCAGGGCAGCCAGGGCTACACAAAGAAAGAAACCCTGTCTTGGAAAAAAAGTCTAGAAAAGAAAGAAAACTGTCAAGCGTAGGGGTAGCACTTGAGAGGCAGAGCTTAGAGACGCATCACAAGTTTGGTCCACATAGTAAGTTCTAGGACAGTGTAGAATACAGAGTGAGACTCTATAACCTAAAATGAAAAAAAAATTAAAAATTAAAAAAATTTGATTCTTGAAATTGCCATGTAAAGGAGAGGGCTAGAGAGAGAATGACTAGTGGGTGCTGGAGTGGCTATGGAGGAGTCATTTCTACTCTTCTGTAACAGCAGGATAACCACGGTTGTGTAGAGTAACAGAACTGAAGAGGGGAGGGAGGGAGGGAATATATATACGTATGTGTATGTTTGTATGTATGTGTGTGTGTATACACACACACACACACACACATATATATAATTTTTTAGAATGGCTTACAGACTGTGGTCCTGTTAGTCCAACATGACTCTCTACCAACAGAAATTCTAAGAAGCCAGTATGTGTTCAGTCCATGAGGCTGGATGTCTCAGCTGGTCTTTAGTATATGCCAGAGTCCTGAAGAGGTAGGCTCTAATGCCAGTGAAGGATGGACATGCCAGTTAGAGGGAGGGCAAGCAGGCAGAGAGAAAACTTTCTTCTTCCGTCCTTTATATAGATATATTCTATCAATCTGTGTTTTACTGCAAGGTTGTGGCCTACCGGCAAGGTTCTATTCTAGCATATTTCTTTGACAGCTGCATGGAATCTCCTTGACTCTGCCTGCTCTCTGTATATCTCTGTTCGGATTTCCCTGCTGGCTTTACTCTACTAAGCCGTTGGCTGAAACAGCTTTATTTATTAGCTAATAAAAGCAACACATATACAGAACGACTTCCCACATTAATTAAAAGTGGATCTTCCCACCTTAAAAGATCAGAATTAAATTGAGTGTTCACACTTCAAATGATTTAATTAAGGGGAAAAAGTTCTCACAGGTGTACCCAGCCTTTAGGTTTTATTTAATTCTAGATATAGTCAAGTTGACAACCAAGAATAGTCATCACAACAGCTGATAATAATTGTTTATTTCAGAGTTGCTACCAGAGGGCATGTTCAGTGTTCCAGCACAGGCCCTAAGTCTCTGAGTGATTGATGGATATCCAGTTATCCTGTTTCTCATGCTTAAGAGTCATATTATCCTCATTTATACATACAAGTGTGTTTAGCTAAAATAAGTATTTCTAAAAATATGAGTAAATAGTAGCAAAAACTTTAATATGCGATTATTATAACCAAGAACAAGGTGACTAATGAGAAAAATGATTCAAGTTTTGGACTTAAAACTGCTAGATAAGGATCTGGAGAGATGGCTTAGCAATTCAGGGCACTGACTGCTCTTCCAGATGGTCTCAGTCTGATTCCCAGCACTCACCTGACAGTTCACAATAATCTTTTTTTTTTTAAATATTTATTTATTATGTATACAATATTCTGTCTGCGTGTATGCCTGCAGGCCAGAAGAGGGCATCAGACCCCATTACATATGGTTGTGAGCCACCATGTGGTTGCAATTCAGGACCTTTAGAAGAGCAGGCATCTTAACCTCTGAGCCATCTCTCCAGCCCCCACAATAATGTTTTAATTAGTCCCAAAGGACTGTGATCTGGCGCCCTCTTCTGGTCTCCACAGGCATTACACATATGTGCGCAGACATACATGCAGGTGAAACACCCACACATGAAATTTTTAAAAGTTATAGATAAAAATAGAAAACAATGTCTGATACAGATATGGATTTATGATGTCCATCTACTGCTAGCTAGTCTTGCTTTCTGTCCTATGTTGTTTAATTCTGACTCCACATGTTAATTACCACCTTTTTAGGCTTCAACACAACCACCAATGTGGTCATCTTGGCAGGCACAAATCGGCCAGACATCTTGGATCCAGCTCTTTTGAGGCCAGGCCGCTTTGACAGGCAGATCTTTATTGGTGAGATGGTATTCACTGGGTTCAGTCCAAGTTTGTGGTTAAGATGTGCCTCACTATGACCTTTTTTTCCCTTAAAAATAATTTCTAAAGGACCCCCAGACATAAAAGGACGAGCCTCAATCTTCAAAGTTCACCTTCGGCCATTGAAACTAGACAGTGCCTTGGAAAAGGAGAAATTGGCTAGAAAACTGGCATCCTTAACCCCAGGGTTTTCAGGTAAGTGGAAATTACTGCTGTTTTTAAAGCATTTTTCAATCACTGACAAGTACCAGGTCACTGTAGTTCCTCTCACTTGGGGCCATCATCAGATGTTTTTACCTTTTAATTATGGGAAACTTCAGATGTGCACATAATTAGAGGATACAGAAAATTGACCCTTGAGCACTTACTTGTGCAGGTGGCTGTTAACATCCAGGCATGGACCCCACCCTCTATCAGCACAGTGGATTATGAACAGCTCCTAGAAGCATATCCCTTCATCCATAAATCTTTGAGGATTTGTTCCCAAGTGTCTTTTAACAGTTACTGGTAGAGATAGCATGCTGCAATGCTCACCAGTACTAAGTGTAAATTGGGTGGGTTTTAGTATATTGACATAGTAGCCCAGCAATTACTATAGTTTAACTTTGAAACATTGTATCACCTTGAGAAGACTCTATCAGCATCTCCTTCCACCTCCAGGCTTGGACAACAGTAATCTACTTTCAGTCCTTATAGGTTTTCCTATCAGGATACATTATATAATTGGATTATTCAGTATGTTACCTGCCTATGTTCACGTAGAATGCTGTTTAAGATTGGTCTGTGTGGTAACATATAGCAACTTCATTTGTTTTTCTGGTTATTCATTATCTGGTTATGGTTATGCCTAGTCTCAACCTGTTCTTTATTTGATGGCATTTAAGTGGTTTCTACTTTGTGATTGTTACGAATACCACTCCTAATATTCACCTACAGAGTTTTGTGTGGGTATATTAATTTCTCTTAGAATTGTTTGAGCATATGATGTGAATGTATTTGGATCTCTGAGGAATTACCTGGCTGGTTTCTAAAGCGACTGCATCATTTTAACTTTTCACTGTAGACTTTGAATATGTATGCCAGTTTCTCCATATCCTTGCCAATAACTGCTATTCGCTCTGATTGTCTCTCTTCTGTCTCCTCCCACCTCTGGTTTTGAGACAAGAACTTGCTACAAAGCCTCAGCTAGTCTGCAGGTTGCTAGTTAATAGCTCAGATTGATCTGAATTTGTGGGGATCCTCTTGTCTCTGACCTCTCAGGGTTGGGATTACAAATGTGAGCCACCGCAGTTCGTTTATCTGCCTTTTTATTGTAGTAATCCTAGGGGCATAAATTGGCATCTCTTTGAGGTTTTGATTTGTTACCCAATAAATTATTGTATGAAGTATTGTTTCCATAGTTTGTTTTGCTGTTGATTTCCAGTTTTATTCTACTATGATCTGATAGGATATGAGAAATGGTTTTGATTCTTCCTGAATTGTGTGCTCTGTATTTGTTGGATCAAATATTCTATAGATGTCTGTTAAGTCTGTTTGGTTTGTGGTATAGTTTAACTCTGAGGTTTGTTTTTAATTTGGATGATCTATTTAAAGACAGAAATAGGGTATTGAGTTCACCCACTATTACTGAACCAGGAGTCTGCCTAGTGCTTCTTTTAATTTATATCTTCTGGATGAACTGTTTCTTTATTAATATATAGTTACTGTCTATCTCTTTTGACTCATTTTGATTTGAGGTTATGCTTAGCGTTGATTGTCAATTTCCAGGATCTGTACTCACTAGGAGACAAACCTCTAGGCACATCCTTGAGGGATTACTGAAAATGGTAGCCTGGGTAGCCTGTGAGGAGATTATCTTAACCAGGGTGTTTGAGTTCGGAAGACCCACCCTAAGGGAATAGGGCACATTTTATGTTCTTGGGTCTTGGACTGAATAAAAACAAGGGTGCTAGCTGCAGGTTGCACTCATCCATTTCTGCTTTCCGACTCTATAGACACAATGTGGCCAATGTTTAAGGCCGCTGCCTTGACTTCCCCACCACAGTGGACTGTGCCCTGAAACAGCCAGATAAACGCTCTCTTTTTGTTCTTTTGAGACAGGGTTTCTCTGTGTAACCCTGGCTATCCTGGAACTCACTCTAGACCAGGCTTGCCTCAGACTCACAGAGCTCCTCCTGCCTCTGCCTCTGCCTCCTGAGTGCTGGGGTGGGATACCACGCCCGGCTGAAATGTCATTTTGGTCAATTTTAAAATACAGCATTGTTTGCAGTCACTTATTCATTCATTCCATGCTTTCTTGGTTTAATCCCCCATGATACTCAAATGTGTTGGCTTTGATGGGTGAGTTAGCTTTTTCCCTTAAAGCTTTAATTTCTTTGTATTGCATTTTGACGTCTTGGTTCTGTGAGGTGGGGAAATCCTTTGGACATGTGCTGTTGGAGCTCTAAAACCTTTACATTTGGATATCCATTTCTTTCTCGAGATCTGGAGGTTTTTCTTTGAATTTATTCACAAAGCCTTTAGTGTTTATCTCAGTTTTTTCTATTCTGTAGATTCTTAAATGTGTTCTCTTGATCCTAGCCCTGAGTTCTTAGTTAAGTCTGTTGGTGATACTCTCCATTTTATTTTTTATTTGGTTCAATAAGTTTTTCTTTTTTAGAATTTATTTAATTATTTCAAAACCTTAGTTTCCTTGTGTTCTTAGACCTCTAGGGCAGCTCAATTTTAAACACTAGATTCCTTCTGTGATAGCACCTGACTACTTACTCCAAGTAAGTGGTAGTTACCAAAACCTGCCCCCAGAACAGATGGTTGGGAAGCCCGTGCTTGTTCTGTGGGTGCCACTGCCCATCTCGTCACACCAGGGCTGCCTTCTGATGAGATCTGAGAGCTGCCCAGCCTGAGCATGCTCTGCTGGGCCTGACTTCTCCCACGTCACCTTCCGTATTCTGTGCTTTTTAGCCATCCTGTCAATAACATTGGGAAATTCTGAAGCTTTCTTTGTCCTTTGAGTAAATTCCATTTTTTCTTACTCTGATTCTTCTCCTTCAGTGGGCCACACAGAGGCAGTTTCCTGTGGGTCATCTTACCCAGAAGTACTATAGTGTTTAAAACTTGTTTACTTAGCTCACTTGTGTTAACATACACATAATCTGAGAAATCCACGTAAGGCCTTAATGTGCCAAACCAACATTTGACAAGCTTCACATTACTTAAATTTAGTTTATTAGCCAAATGTACTAGATTATTTTAATATATGTTTATTATAAGTTATGTAAGCCTGTTGTCTAACATGCCCATAAGTCATTTTTTCAGTAAAGATGGCAAAACTAAGAATATTAATGTGCATTTAAAAATAGTGTCATTGGAGTCCCACAGCCAAACATTAGGTGGAACTCAGGGAATCCTGCAAAAGAGGGGGAGAATGGATCGTAAGAGCCAGAGGGGTCAAGGACATCACAAGAAAACACACAGAATCAGCTAACCTGGACTCATAGGGGCTCACAGAGACTGAATCAACAACCAGGAAGCCTACATGGTTCTAGCCATCTGCACATAGGTGACAGTTGTATAGCTTGGGCTTCTTGTGGGACTCCTAACAGTGTGAGAGAGACTGTCTCTGAATATTTTGTCTGTATTTGAGACCCTTTTCCTCATACTTTTCCTCATATTAAGGCCTTGTCCAGCCTTATATGAGGAGGTACCTAGTCTAACAACAACTTGATATGCCATGTTTGGTTGATATACATGGGAGGCCTGCCCTTTTCTGAAAGAAATGGAGGAAGGGTAGATGGGAGGGGGTTGTAATCATCAGGTTGTAATATATGAAAGAAGAGTACATTTTAAAAAAATTTTTTAGAAAATATCATTGGGCTCAGTAGTTAGAAGCACTGGCTGCCCTTCCAGAGGACTCAGGTTCAATTCCCAACACCCACAAGAAACAACAATCTATAACTCCAATTCTAGGTGATCCAGCATCTTCTTTTGGTCTCTGTTGGTACTGCACACACATGGTGCACAAGCATACGTGTAGGCAGCACAGTCATACATATAAATAAAATAAAGATTTAAAAAAGCTATCATAATTTGCTATTACCTGAACCATATTATCTATTAAGGTGAATTGTCTGCAGTTACCTGTTTGCTACTAATTCTCTCATCTTAGCTCACAGGGCCAAGGTTATATATAGGCTTGTACTTAATACCAGGATATCTTAGGATTCTTGTAAACACTTGAATTGTTTCAATTAGACCCCTTCTCAGTCTTCTGATGGGTAAGATCTGTGTAGGGTCAGTCCTCCCTAGTGTGTGCCTGTCAGTGTGAGCATGGTTTTGTGTGTTTATTTGTAGGAGCTGATGTTGCCAATGTCTGCAATGAAGCTGCTTTGATTGCTGCAAGACACCTTTCAGATGCCATTAACGAGAAGCACTTCGAACAAGCGATTGAGCGAGTGATTGGTGGTAAGGCAGCTGAATATAACTGAGGTTTAAAGGCTGATGATAGTCAACATGTTAGGTTACGGTATGTGGCTGCCATCCCAATACTTGGGAGTTGAGGGAGGAGGTTCTCAATTTTGAGCCTGCTTTAGGGTAAATGATGAGACCTTGTCTCTTTTTTTAAAAGCTCATAAAAGAAAAGTTCAGCCCTTGATTACTGTTTTGACAAGATCGCAAGATCTACAAAGAAAGTATATCCACACAGCTGCAGGGCTTGCCATGCAATCTCCGGGCTTATCTTGTGCTTTCTTGTCTTTGAACCCTTCCCTCTCTGAGGTAGAAAAGTGTTTACCTATTGACAGTGCTGCCTCTGTGAACCTCGACCATGTCTTTGTAATAATGTGACATATTGAGAAAGGGAAGAGATCCTGTGATGAACTGTGGGGAGATGGTTTGTATTTTCAGATAAGCAAGAAAGTTAGGTTATAGAGTAATAGTGGAGTACCTGCTTAGCATATACATCTCCAGCACTACAAAAAGAAAAAGAAATGCTTGTGGGACCCTGATAGCTTTGTGGAATATATTTATCTCAGATGAATTGCATTGAGCAAAACAGAACCCTCAAAAGATGGTGTGGTGGGCTGGAGAGATGGCTCAGAGGTTAAGAGCATTACCTGCTCTTCCAAAGGTCCTGAGTTCAATTCCCAGCAACCACATGGTGGCTCACAACCATCTGTAATGAGGTCTGGTGCCCTCTTCTGACCTGCAAGCATGCACACAGACAGAATATTGTATACAAAACAAACAAACAAACAAATAAATAAATAAATAAAATTTAAAAAAAAAGATGGTGTGGTGGTTTGCCTCCACAGAACATGCACCATCAGGGTTTACAGTTATAGATCGTAATACAAAGTGAAGCTGGGAGCCAACCTCTCTGCAGCTGAGAAAAAGTTGAAATGGCAGACCTTTGAGAGTTAAAGGCTTCACCACTGCCTAGAGGCATTAAATTCTTATCCTAGGGTCTTTGGGCTGTGTGTCAGGGAATGACCTTCCTAGAGTGTTTCTATCTGGCCTGTGTGGTGACTAGCCAGCCCTGAGTAGGAAGTTCGGGCCTTTCACTGGGACGCTACTTTCCTTTATCACCTCCCACTGGCAACAGACAACAAGCATCCTTATCTCAAGACTTGATGGTTCTGAGTAACAAAACCAAGCATACAACTCTTCCAGACTTCTCCATGAGTTTCCTGTTTCATAGGACCTAAATTCTGAATTGCATTTATATTTCTGTTGATTTTCCCCAAAATAAGTATGTGGCTTAAAACAGTGGGTGGTTAGGATAAAAGCGAGCCTGAGGCAGAGATGAGAAATATACATTTTTGTTGTAGTTGTATTTATTTCAGACTTGGCCCTTTATTCTGATTTCAGTTGGAAAGTTTAGGCGGGTTAGTTGTTAAATTATGTCTTAGGTAATGAGGTTGTAGCATTACATCACTTTTTTTTAATGTCATTGTCACTAAAATAGTGGTTTGGGGTTTTTGTTATTATTAGGCTTGGAGAAAAAAACCCAAGTTCTGCAGCCCGAGGAGAAGAAGACAGTAGCTTACCACGAAGCAGGCCATGCGGTCGCCGGCTGGTATCTGGAGCATGCAGACCCGCTCTTAAAGGTGCCACAGAGTGTGATGGAGTAGGCAGGCCAGCTTAGAGTGTGAGCAGTGACTGAAAAGGAGTTATATTCACTGGAGAGATAGCAGATACAACGTACCTATGGAGGGACCTAGCAGAAACTAATGATGGCTGACGGAAATGCTTACATACATCCTCCTGCAGATATAGCACAAATTTTGACAAAACTTTCTCTGTTTGCCACCCTAGAGATTGAACCTAGGACCTCATATATGCTGGGTAAATCCTCTACCACTGAGCTATACTCCCAGCTCTTATTTTATTTTATTTTATTTTATATTTTGTATTTTTCAGTATGTGTGGTGCATATGTATATATGTATGTATGTATTCAAGTGTGGGGACACAAATACCTGCTTACACTTATGTACTTGAGTGTAGAAGCCAGAGGTCAGTGTTAAGTGTCTTTCTCTATAGCTTTCCATGTTATTATTTACCATTATCATTATGAAGGTGGCATCTCACTGATTTGGGGTATGTTGATTAAGCAAGACTAGCTGGTAGCAAGTCCCAGGAATCCTCCTGTCTCTGCCTTGTAAATGCTAGAATTGCAGGCACCTGGCATCATAGTCAGGTTCTTTGGGAGGATCTGAACACAGTTCCTCATGCTTGCATAGCAAGCGCTTTCCTGACCGAACTTTCTCCCTACTCCCTCTACTTTTTATTTTGAGGGAGAGTCTCACTGTTTCCCAGGTTGTCCTTGAGCTCACTGTGTAGTCAACGTAAGCCTTGACTTTTCAGTCTTCTCAGCCTCTCAAGTAATTGAGTGAGGCTTGTGCTACTGTGCCTGGTTCAGAAGACCAGAGCCAGAAAGTGTCCAAAACAGAGCAGGGTTGGGAGAGAGCGGCATTGGTAGTATGAGGATTGGAAATGCACCACTCCCTGGCCTGAGGTGTTCTGTGACTATAACCCTGTCGTAGGTTTGGCCATCTTGAGTTTTTAGGGAATGCAAAATTAAAGATTTTGTTGTATCCAGGTGTGGTAGCCCATACCTTTAATCCCAGCATTTGGTTGCAGAGGCAGGCCAATCTCTACTAATTTGAGGCCAACCTGATCTACATAGTAGGTTCCAGGACAGCCACAGTTTCATAGTAAGACCCTATCTTAAAGGGGAAAAAGTTTCAATTGCATTTTCAATAGACTCTTAACACATGAAATATAAATTTAAGAAAGTATCATAGGGCTTATAACCGAAGTAAGAAATAAATCAAAGTATATTTTGTTCATGGAATCTTATGCCACTTCTTCCCAAATTGATCTTTTTGGTTTATTGCAATCTTTGTTATGGTTATAACAGATATTCCCTTGCAGAACCTAGGGCCTTATACACACTAGGCAAACACTCCAAAACTGAGTCACAGTCTCAGACCAAATAGGCTTTGTTTTTTTGAATAGCTATTGTGAAGCTGAATCTAAAGTTTTCTGGAAAAACAGAAGAGTGGAAACAGCTGGGTAGGGGTATCACTGCCTGACTTTCACTGCACTGCTGCAGGAAAGTCTGCCACACTGGTGAGGGACTGGTGAGACCAGGATGGGAAGCTGGTGATGGTGCATGCCTGTATTACTAGCACTTGGGGTAGGACAGGAAGATTGGCAGTCCAAGGTTTTCCTGGGGTTCATTAGACTCTATCTTCATAAAGTCGAAGGGAGAGGGAAGGAAGGATTGTCTTCTCAACATGTGATTCTGATAACAGCATTCATATGAATAAAGGGAACATTGACCCTTGTATCATATGCCAGAAAATGAGTAGATCGGAAAAGCTAAAGTTTAAAATGATAAAACTTCATCTCCCAAAAAATGTAGGTAAAAACCTTTGTGGCCTTGAATATGTAAAATTTTCCTTAGAATACAAAAAGCACAAACTGAAAAAAAAAAAAGTTGATGAATGGATAGACAGGATGGATCATTGTGTAAAGGTACTTGCCACCAAATCTGAACAATTTGAGTTCAATCCCAGGATCCACCTGGTGGGATAAACATTCTGACATGCACACAGCCACACACATACATCCAATCAATCAATTAATCAATAAAAGAGTTGATATTAAGACCTCATTGAAATTTAAAACTTAGTCTTTGAGGTACGGGCATGGTATCACATGCCTGTAATGTCAGCACTTGAGAGGCAGAGGCAAGAGAGTTTTAAATTTGGGATCAGTCTGGGCTACGTAAAGAAACCAGCACTACTGGTAAATCAGTGACAGAGCACTTGACCGGCGTGCATAATAGTGAACCCTGCCTGGGCAACATAAGACCCCGACTCAAAAGTAAACAAAAACAAAACCCACAAAAACCCAGCACTCTTGTCTTTGAGAAATGCCACTAAGAAAGTGTGAAAGGGTTGGGTAGGCACATGGTGTCACACTCAGGAAGCAGAGGCTGGAAGACCAGGATTCCAGGCCAGCCTGGGCTGTATAGTAACACTCTGTCTCAAAATGTAATCATTTTAAAAGGAAGTGGGAGAGAAAGGGCCGCATTCCGAAAATGTTTGCCGTAAATGTGACTGACAAAAGGTTTATATCTGAAAAAAATAAATCTTAAACTCAACATAGTAAAACAGTAGATATATACACTCCATAAAATAAGGCATATGAATAGGCACTAAACCAGAGAATCGCAAAGGCAGACGTAGATACCAGAGCCACTTAGGGTGGTTAGAACTTAGCAGGGTGTCGATGGCAAGGATGTCTGCACTACTTACAGGAGGTCAGTGTGGTCCTGACTTGATCCTCACCTAAAATGGGTGAAAATGGATTCTACACGAGGATTTTTCTGCTGTATTTATAGTGTAGTCAGCTGGAAACAACCCCGCTTTCCATCAAAAATGAACTGGAAGCCAGGTGTGGTGGGCTCATGCTTGTAATCCCAACACTTCGGAGGGCAAAGCAGTGGGATTAACATGCTATGAGCTCAAGGCCAGAGCTTGGGCAAGTGTGAGACCTTGCCTCAAAAAACAACAAAAAAAGGTATACCTGGTGTATTTACAGCAGTAACATGCTGTAAAGCAATAGAAATTAATAAGCAGGCTGTTAGTACCCACAGCAGTATGGATGAATCTCAAAAACAGGGAGTGAAACCAGACACAGAGAGTGCAGTCTGTGGGGTGGGCACTTACACACAGTTCTAGAAAGGGTAAACTTGCCTGTTGTAGGCAGGCATGTGGTTGCTTGGGACTGTGCATGGCAACTTGGGATGGTGGCAGCATTTATGTATTAGTTATGGTTGGAAGTTGCTTCTAAAACTCATGTTTTAGGGAGTTGGAGAGATGGCTCAACAGTTAAGAGCACTGAATGCTCTTCCAGAGGACCTGGGTTCAATTCCCAGCACCCACATGGCAGCTCATAACTGTAACTCTATCCCAGGATGTCCAACATACATAGTATACAGACACACACGTAAGCAGAGCAACCATAAGATAAAAATAAATATAAAACTTAAAAAAAATTTACTTAAAATCACTACAGACCTGGAGGGATGGCTCAGCCGTTAAAGGCTAGGCTCACAACCAAAGATATGAGTTCGGTTCCCAGCACCCACGGCTGTCCCTCCAGGTACCAAATAAAAAATTTAAAAAAGAAAAAGAAAAAAAAATCACTATATATGCTTAAAGTGGCTAGACTTTAAATAGAGAAATCCTCTCCAATACAGTTTTCTAAAGCTAAAGGAAATTGCCTAGTTTCATAAAAGGGACCTGGTAGGACAATGAAAGCTCTTGCGCATCTTGGCCCACCATCCTGTTCATCCTCTGAGGCACAGCTGACTGCCAGAGCTGAGTCAGCTCTGTGACCTGCCAGAGGAGACCTCAGCCAGCAGTCATCAGGACTCCTTTACTAAACAACTGGTTTCAGTTTGCCTTTACAGAAGGGCAGAAATGCTTTCTGGAACTCTGAGGTGAGAGAGTTTCCCTCCTGGCCTTTGCTAGACCTTGTGGCACTGAAGCTGTTATGTAGACCAGCATGGCGCTTCCTTTTTGCCAGAGTGTTTCCTCTTAGACACTCTGATCAGGACTGCTTTGGGAATGGGCGCCTCACTGCTGTGCTTTCTGCTCACCAGGTGTCCATCATCCCGCGTGGGAAGGGGCTGGGCTATGCTCAGTACTTGCCCAAGGAGCAGTATCTGTACACAAAGGAGCAGCTGCTGGACAGGATGTGCATGACTCTGGGTGGCCGCGTCTCCGAAGAGATCTTCTTTGGAAGAATTACAACCGGCGCCCAGGATGACTTGAGGAAAGTTACCCAGAGTGCCTATGCCCAGGTGAGTCTGTGCACCTGGGCTTCTGCCTCCCTTTCTATTAGCCTGGGAAGTCAGCCTTTGTGAAGGACTGAGGTGACACAGATGGTTCACTAGTTTAGGTTCTTAGAGCAGGGATTCTTTCTTTCTTTTTTAAATGTTTTCATTGATTTTATTGAGCTATACAATTTTCTCTGCTCGCAAGGATTCTTTCTTAAATTCGCCGGAGAGATGGCTCAGAAGACTGTGTACTGTTCTTGAAGAGGATCTACATTCTCTTCCCACAACTCACGTTGGGCAGCTGCGACTGCCTGTAACTCCAGATCTGCCACTTCTGGCCTCTAAGAGCATCCGGACTCGTGTACAGACACATACAAGGACATACACATATAAGTAATTTATAATACTATAAAAACAAAACCTAGCAAAAAGTCCACTTAAACAACAAAAACTTTCTGGGAGGTAGTGTTGCCCTTTAATCCCAGCACTCAGGAGGCAGAGGTAGATGGATCTCTTGAGTTTGAGGCCAGCCTGGTCTACAGAGCTAGTTCCAGGACGGCCAGGGCTACACAGAGAAATTCTACCTCAAAAACCAAAAAACAAACAAAACAATAAAAACTAAGAATCCTGTATGTAATGGTTATAGGTAGAGTTTAAAGTTTAGTTTTTCAATGCTTTTATTTTTCAGGGCACGGTCTCTTGTTCAGGCTAGTCTCAAATTTGATGTGTAGGTGAAGGTGACCTTGAATTCTCAATCCTCCCAAGTGTTGGGATTTCAGTATGGGCCTGCCCAGCTGTAAAGTTCGATTTTTAAAAACGATTTATTTTATTATTTGATCTGTATGAATGCTTTGGATGCATGTACGCATGTGAACCATGTGTGCCTAGTGCCCTTGGAGGCCAAAAGTGCACAGGATCTCCTTGAACTGGAGTTTCACATGGTTGTGAGCTGCCATGTGGATCCAAACCTGGGTGCTCTAGAAGCCCTATAGTTTAATTTTTAAGTTCCATGTCCCTGCAACAGTTTGACAGTGAAACTTGGGATCTCTCTACAGCCTGTCCCTTGCCCCTCCCATAGCAGCAGCCTCTCTTGACCTGTTACCATTCCTGTGTTTTCTTCAGCTTTTACTGTTGAAGTTTCAGCAGCCCCAGCAGTAGGCTGTGTCCCCAGGCAGACATGAGCTGTCTCTGGGAACGCTCTCCATTGAGGCAGCCCTTTGCCTATTGTCCATGTCTTGTTTTGAAAGTGATCCCTCCCACCCCCATATGGCATCAGTGATCATTACTTATTATTTGCTGTTGTTTCTTTCTAGTTTAAGCCCATTTATTTTGTTTGTGTTTGTTTTGGGTTTTTTGAGACAGGGTTTGTCTGTGTATTCCCGGTTGTCCTGAAACTCATTCTATAGACAGACTGACTGCAAACTCTCAGAGATTCACCTGTCTCTGCCACCTGTGTACTGGGTTAAAGGCCATTGCCGCCACACCCAGCAGTCTAGTTTAATCTTTTTAAAAAATGTTTTTTCTGCAGTGTGTAGTTTTCCCCTGTCTTCTAGCCCCCGGAGTCCTTCTGTGTCTGATTCAGAGTCCATTCTGCTTCCTCCTGTGGGATTCATTTCTGTCCCCCTACAAGTGGCCTGTGGGCTTCAGAGCTGCTGTAGTTTGCCCATTGCTTGTCCGCTTATTTTGTCCTGATTGTTCTCCTGTATAAGTTTAAATCATGCTGCTACCCTTGGCTGCCATCTACAGAGTGTCTTTGTCTACTTCAGTGGACCCTGGCCTCTGTAAGTGTTCAAAGGTAAAGTTTCTTTTATCTAACCTTTTAGTTATTGATGTTTTTCAGATTGTCCAGTTCGGCATGAATGAGAAGGTGGGGCAGATCTCATTTGACCTCCCACGCCAGGGGGACATGGTATTAGAGAAGCCTTACAGTGAAGCCACAGCGAGGATGATAGACGATGAAGTGAGGATTCTCATTAATGATGCCTATAAAAGAACTGTGGCTCTTCTCACAGAGAAGAAGGCTGATGTAGAGAAGGTAAGTGCCAGCGTATGGATGATTCTCTGCACGAGTGCTTTGTTTGGTTGGTCATGTGTGTGTGCGCATGCAAGCATACAAATGTCAATCAGATCATAATTCTATAGAGCCGGTTTTCTCCTTCCACCTTTATGTGCGTTCTAGGGATTAAATTTAGGTCATCAGGTTTGCTCAGAAAGTATCTCTACTTGCTGAGCCTTCTTGTCAGCCTCATTGGTTTCTTGAAACAGGATTTTGCTGTGTAACTTTGAGTGGCCTGGAACTCACTGGGTAGAGCAGGCTGGTGCCAATCTTCCCCTGCCTCTGCCTCCTAAGTACTGGAATTACAGAGGTGAGTCAGCTTGTCTGGCTTTCTACAGGTGATTTAGTTGGTGTCTAAACTCAAGAATCCCTTCCTTCCTTCCGACCTCCTGTGCTCCTTCCCTCTGGTGTTGAGTGTTCCCCGTGGCTGGGGAACAGAAGCAGCACTGTTCTGGTTCTTGTGTTAGGTGAAGAAAGTCTGTGATCGAGCAAAGGAGAATGTTAGGGCTAGCCTCATTCCCGTGCAAGATTATCTCACTCCTGCCTAGACTACGTGTATTCAGTATATACCAAAGAAATGTTTGGTGGAAGGAGAATGTGTTGAGTTGGGTAAGGATCCCGACACTGTGGGTGTCAGAAGTATTTTCTGACCCAGCAGAGAAAAGGATGCAGGTACAGTGTTGAACCTGTCAGGGGACCAGTCTACTGGGAGGAGAGGGTTTGAAGGCTTTGCTCTCCTGTGCAGGTTGTCCCTTCAGAATAAGGTTGACCCTTCAGAATAAGGAGAACTAGGTTACACAGTACCAGCTAAGCCTGCAACCTCCTGAGGTGTCATTATCCCCAATTCTTAGGGAAGAAACAACACAGAGAGGCCATGTGGTAGCTTAAGGTCACAGAGGTGGTGAGTGACAGAGGCAGTGTTCTGACCCAGCTACAGCCCTTGCAAGTCCCCTCTCTCCTGTGCTATGTCCACGGCAGCTGTGGGTGGTTACCACGCACTGGCAGTGTGACCAGTGTGAGAGGTGCTGTGAGCGTGGCACGCTGTGAGAGGTGCTCAGTTTGTATGCGCAGATGTCCATGCTCACCCATGACTACACTGTGTGCTTGCATCAGAGGACGCCTAAAGCTTTCATTCCTCCTGCGCTCCATTCACAATTAGTTTATGAGAAATGCACTCTGTCAGTTTGGTTTTACTTGTATAAGGATTTCAGATGAGGAATAGTCCCGAGGTGATGGTCACCTCAATAGCACGTAATCTATTCTTCCCTCCTAAAAGCAAGCATAGCCTGCGTTGCACATTTGTGCTTTACTTTCTTGCAGAGAAGTATGTGCATCTCTTTATTTATTTATTATTGTTTAGCCTGCATGCCTGCACACACACCAGAAGAGGGCACCAGATCTCATTATAGATGGTTATGAGCCATCATGTGGTTGCTGGGAACTGAACTCAGGACCTTTGGAAGAGCAGCCAGTGCTCTTAACCTCTGAGCCATCTCTCCAGCCCCTGTGCATTCCTTTATTACAACTACGTAATCCTTAATTGTGTAGATGTGCCAAATGTGTTTGCCTGTTTGCTTATGAAGGACATTGCTGACTTCCACATATATATTACACATCTTACTCTTAAAAAATCATGTGATTTTATTTATGAGACATATTCAGTTGTCTTTTTGATCTTTTTTTGGTTTTTTTGTTTTGTTTTTTAGGGATTTTTTGTTTGTTTGTTTGTTTGAGAAAGGATTTCTCTGTGTAGCCCTGGCTGTCCTAGAACTCACTCTGTATCCAGGCTGGCCTTGAACTCATAGAGATCCACCTGCCTCTGCCTCCCAAGTGCTGGGATTAAAGGCGTGCCACCACCACTGACCAGCCCATGTTTTATTTTGTAACATTACAGTCTTTTAATATGTATGAGTATTTGCCTGAATGTATGTATGTGCACAGTGTGCATGTCTGGTGTTCTCAAAGACCAGAAGTTAGATACCATGGAACTGAAGTTACAAGATGGTAGTGAGCTGAGAACTGAACCCGGGTCCTCTGTAAGAGCAGCAGGTGCTCTTCATCACTGAGATACCTCCCAAACTCCTTAGGATTTTATCAGAATGAAGTTAGCTAAAAGTAAAAATCTTAACTTCTGAGTAAATTTTGCTGAGTAACTTTTAATGGAAATCGCTTTTATTTCAGGTTGCTCTTTTACTGTTAGAAAAGGAAGTATTAGATAAGAATGATATGGTTGAACTTCTGGGCCCCAGACCATTTACAGAAAAATCCACGTATGAAGAATTTGTGGAAGGCACTGGCAGCTTGGACGAGGACACTTCACTCCCTGAGGGCCTTCAAGATTGGAACAAAGAGCGGGAGAAAGAGAAGGAGAAGGAGAAGGAGGAGCCCCTGAGTGAGAAGGTTGTCAGCTAGGCTCAGGGCTGGAGGCCCCTTACTGTCCTCCCAGGGCTTCAGCAGCCGCCTTCAGAGCAGCAGCCCCGCTGCAAAGCCAGCTGCTGACTGAGCCAGGCTAGCAGAGGGCCTGCACTGTGGTTGCAGGAGTGCCAGCAACTGCCCAGGCCTTCCAAGGGGACTCTCCTGCCCCTCAACCTTAGCCTCATGAACAGTGGCTGGAACAGGAGAGATGACTCCACCTGTCCTGTGGAATCCTATTCTGTGGTAGGAGAATGTTTTCCCGTTACCTGCTCTCCATTCTTCCTACTTTGATATCTCTGCAGAAGTGCTGTGAAAAATTCAGTTCGAGACCTTTGATTTAAGCAAATATTTTAAAATTTGAATTCAGATCACTTATTGCTATTTCAATAGAATGGTTTTCTATAGGGAACTGTAACATATTTAAAAACCTGAATGTATTGTGTAAATATGGATTCTTTACATCAGAAATAAAAGGTGGACATTGTACTTTTTTCCTGAATATATGCAGGGTCACTATGCTGTGCTGATGTTTAGAGAACATAATGTCAAGAAATTAAGTGGTCTTATTTTGAAGATAAATTCTTCAAAATCTTACCCAGCTGGTCTCATCAGCTGACACAGAAAGCCGCAGCCCTCCCGATTTATGTCCTGGATTGGTGCTGTTGGAGCCCAGAGTCAGTCAGTGGGAGCTGTGATAGCTGCATCAACTAGGTTCTCCCCAGGCAGAGCTGGCCATGACAGGTGTACATTGTACCGTCAGGGCTCATCTGCCCTGAACCCCGAGTTCCTAGAAGAGGTGATGGATCTGGGTCCCCAGCGGTGCTAGAGGCGCGTATGGTTACTGCTGTCAGTCTCCAGCAGAGGGTTATAAAGATTGCACAACCACAGATTGACTCCCGTCTTCAAATGACATTGTTTGAGCTTAGAGATACTGGTTATTTTATTTTTTAAATTGGATCTACTCTTTAGCCCACTGGCCTGGAAGTCACTGTGTAAGTCCACACTAGCACTGAACTGACAGCGGTTCCCTGCTTGATTTTCTTTAAAAGATTAATTTTTATGTTTTTATGTGCATGGGTATTTTGCCTGCATGTATGTCTGTGTACTCCATCTGTGCCTGGAAAGAAGAGCGTATCAGATCTCTGGAGACTGCAGTTGTAGACAGTTGTGAGCTGCCCTGTATGTAGGTGCTGGGAATTGACCCTGGGGTCCTGTAAAGAACAGCTGGTGTTCTTAACTCCAGCCTTTATTATTTTTAAGTGTCGTGGGTGTGTATAGTATAGTGTAGGTACCCACAGAGGCCAGAAAGTATATCAGATCCCCCCAGAGCTGGAGTTACAGGTAATTATGAGCTACCAGACTTGGGTGTTGGTAACTGAATTTGGGTCCTCTGCAAGAGCAGTGTGTTGAGCCCATGTCTCCAAACTCTTTAAGTACTGGGATTATATAGTATGAACCACCATGCCTATTTTGTATTTCTTTTTAGCTGCATCTTATAAAAGGCCACACTGTCCCTCCTTTTCTCCCCACTGGGTATTTCTGGGAGGGATAGCTCAATGGAGACTTGGTTGAGGCTGTAAGGCCTGCTTAGTCATGAGCATACCCTCATGATGAACTGTAGCAGTGACTGTCAACAGCCTGGGCTCTTTGACAGAGACATAATGGAACTTGGGCCTTCAGTGCCTGCCTAAGTATCCAATTCTTAACTTTCCAGGCAGGTAAAGCTGAGACATTCCACCCTTAAGCTGCTATGCCTGCTTCAAGTCAAGTGCCTGGGACTTCTCCTACCTCACAAGAACAGTAATAGAGGTGCCATTGTCCTGGCAAGCCTTGTGAGACTTCGGGGCAGGAGAGTAGTGTCTCCTGTGTTGGGAAAACGACAAGGTTGCACATATGGGGTGTCACCTCACCTGCACAGGAATGGGTATGGCAAAGCTTAGCTGCACGCTACCTGTGAAGCCTGACCCACAGCAGACCCTTTTCCAAGATAGGTGTGATTTATGGGGATCTCACAAAATAGGTTTCTGAAAAATGAGAACTACGTATCACATTGCTTCAATGAAGTTCAAGAGACCAAAAAACAGTTAGCATTTTATTATGAATGGATTGTCACCAAGTTCCATTTTGTGTATTCAATTAAGGCAAAACTGTGTGGCTTTAGTTTTTATCACCAAGAATGAAAAACAAATCCTTATTCTAACTCCCCTGTTAACTCTGATGGCTGAGCACTTAACGGAAGGTGGTTGCTATCTTTAGCCTTGTACAGCCCCTTAATTTGCTCTCAGTGTTTCTGTACAAAGCCACCCTGGTCTGGTGGGACTGCCAACTCTCCAGCAGAGGAAAGTGCTTGTTCCAGATAACCTGGGGAACAGTGCAGTGTTTGAGAGGGGCCTGTGACATGTGTAGACCAGGTCAGTGTGCCCATACCATCAGGGCTAAGAAAAGAGCAAGTGTACACTCTAGCATCTTAAGGCTCCCTATTCGTTGATCTCTTCTTCATCCTCATCTTCAAAAGCCTCTTCCTCGTCGTTAACCGTGGCGTCCTGATACTGCTGATACTCAGACACCAGGTCATTCATGTTACTCTCAGCCTCGGTGAACTCCATCTCGTCCATGCCCTCACCGGTGAACCAGTGCAGGAAGGCCTTGCGGCGGAACATAGCCGAGAACTGCTCCGAGATGCGCTTGAACAGCTCCTGGATGGCAGTGCTGTTGCCGATGAAGGTGGAAGCCATCTTCAGGCCCCGTGGTGGGATGTCACACACGGCCACTTTGACGTTGTTGGGGATCCACTCCACAAAGTAGCTGCTGTTCTTGTTCTGGATGGCCAGCATCTGCTCATCCACCTCCTTCATGGACATGAGGCCCCGGAAGACAGTGGCGACGGTCAGGTAGCGCCCGTGGCGCGGGTCACAGGCAGCCATCATGTTCTTGGCATCGAACATCTGCTGTGTGAGCTCCGGCACTGTCAGGGCACGGTACTGCTGGCTGCCCCGGGCTGTGAGTGGCGCAAAGCCGGGCATGAAGAAGTGCAGGCGTGGGAAGGGCACCATGTTCACAGCCAGCTTGCGTAGGTCGGCATTGAGCTGACCTGGAAAACGCAGCGATGTGGTGACGCCGCTCATGGTGGCAGACACCAGGTGGTTAAGGTCCCCGTAAGTGGGCGTGGTCAGCTTGAGAGTGCGGAAGCAGATGTCGTAGAGGGCTTCGTTGTCAATGCAGTAGGTCTCGTCAGTGTTCTCCACCAGCTGGTGCACGGACAGCGTGGCATTGTAGGGCTCCACCACGGTGTCTGAGACCTTGGGCGATGGCATCACGCTGAAGGTGTTCATGATGCGGTCCGGGTACTCCTCCCGGATCTTGCTGATGAGCAGGGTGCCCATGCCCGAGCCCGTGCCACCGCCCAGCGAGTGTGTGAGCTGGAAGCCCTGCAGACAGTCGCAGTGCTCACACTCCTTGCGCACCACGTCTAGCACCGAGTCCACCAGCTCCGCACCCTCAGTGTAGTGGCCCTTGGCCCAGTTGTTGCCGGCGCCTGTCTGTCCTGCAAGATAACAAGATTCCAGAGGGGACCTGCTTTCCTCGATCAGTATTTTCAGAGCATAAGAGATTAGAGCAAAGAAACAGGAACCAGGCAGAAGGTACCCACCACAATGTCTAGAAAACACATGAGCAGGTACCTCTTTAGATAGGCCAACCTTGTACCCAGGGGGCCCTGCTCACTAGAAGAGTGCACTTACTAGCAGAGGTCCTGGTCCTGGAGTCAACCCCAGGACATTAAACTAATGACAAATAGCAGGGCAGTGGTGGTGCACACCTTTAATCCCAGCACTAGGGAAGCAGAGGCAGGTGGATCTCTGTGAGTTCGAGGCTAGCCTGGTCTACAAGAACTAGTTCAAGAACAGCTAGGACTGTAACAAAGAGAATCCCTATCTCAAAAAAGAAACAAAACAAAAACACCAAACAAAGTAATGACAAATCTATATATAAACATTTAAGGTACATTTGTCTTGACCTAGTAATGTCATTTGTTTTGAGTCAGTCTACCTATGTAACCCAGATTGGCCTCAAACTCATGTAGCCCCATCAGGCCAGGCTCTGATCTTACTGCTGTTATTTCTCTATTTATTTAGACAGGGTTTCTCTGTATAACCACAGTGGCTGTCCTGGAACTGACAGAGATCTGTCCGGCTGATCTTTTAAAATAATTTTGGCATATGATCAAAGTTCAAAGAGGACATGATATACATGATATTTACCTTCCCTCTTTTGAGCTTTCTGAATTTTGCACTAATTCTAAAAATCCCAAAACACTTCAAAACCCCTAACTTTTTTAGTATGGATCTGATGCCATGAGTGGAAAATTCCATACCTGACCTCATATGAGAGGCATTGAAAATATTGTATAGCACTACCTTTGGGTTCTGTGTATAAAGTGTGAAGTAAACATAATTCATGTTTGCTATTCCACTGGCAAGGAAGCTTCTTATACACATGCAAATATTTCAACAAAAATGGTTTTAAAAATTTTTGGGCAAAGGATTCAAAACCTATGCTGTATACAAATACTCTTTTTTTTTTTTCCAAGACAGAATTTGTGTATCTGGCTGTCCTGAAACTAGCTAGCTCTGTAGACCAGGCTGGACTTAGAACTCAGATCTGCCTGTCTCTGCCTTCCAAGTAAAGGCATATGCCACCACTGCCTGGCTACAAATACTTATTTTCTTCTCAAGATAGTAATTTTGTTGCTTGGTTTTTTTCAGGCAGGGCTTTTCTTTGTAGCTTTGGAGCCTGTCATGGATCTCACTCTGTGGACCAGGCTGGCCTCGAACTCACAGAGATCCACCAGTTTCTGCCTCCCAAGTGCTAGGAATAAAGGCATGCACCACCATTGCCTGGCGCCATAATGATTTTTTTTAGGTTTATTTGTTATGTATACAGTGTTCTACCTGCAAGCCAGAAGAGGGTGACAGATCTCATTATAGATGGTTGTGAGCCACCATGTGGTTGCTGGGAATTGAACTCAGGACCTCTGGAAGAGCAGGCAGTGCTCTTAACCTCTGAACCATCTCTCCAGCCCCCCCACATAATGATTTTTGATGTGAATGGGGCACTTCATTTATTACCCATTTTTCTAGGGTAATATTATTACACATTTTTCTAGGAACTAAGTACTGATTTTGCATCTGTAATTGAAGACCAGCACAGACATTCCTACCCTCAAGTTACATTCAGCCCAGTTGTGGAAAGGAACCTAATATACCTACAAAAAAATTTGAGTTTTTATCAACAGTTCATGTGGCTAGGAAAAAATCATCTAGTCAGTCTGTGTTTTGTAGAGCAGCTCATTCTACAGACAAACTTAACAGAGAAACTTTTCATTTCCTGAACACAGAATCAATTGTGTGTGCTAACATCTAAGAATGTGCATAGAAATCCCCAACCATTTACAACACTAGTTATCTGTCTAAGGATATAGTCTCATGGCCACCATGAGGC